TCTCAACCCTACCAAGATGAAGGGCCAGGTCGAAATCAGTCTTGGCGATGGCGATTACGTTCAAACTGTCACCACCATCTCCTTCCTGGTTTGCGAGGCTGTTGCCAATCTTGATGATGAATTTCAAAAGAGCCATATTGTCGGTAAAAATGGCATATCGAACCAGAGAATGACGATTAAGTTGGCACGTGGTTTCAAAAGCCGAATGAAACCACTTCCAAGACTGAGTTGAGTAACCATAATAACCGACAAAAACACTTCGTCCATGGACGCCCCCAAAGGCATGCTTAACTTGTCGCTCATCCACGCCTTTTTTGAGCGCCCGCGCGATCAAGCAATTCCAGGAGACCATGGCGGCCGGCGAGACTCTCGATTTGACATTGTCGGCCATTGCAGCAATGTCGTCTACCGTGAAGGTTTCATCGACAAGTTCAGCAACAACTCTCACCCGAGTGTCCTGCTCCGTACCATCACTATCATAACTGTTTTCGCTGTCTGTGTCGTAGTATTCGTCAGTGTGGACGACATAGCGGTAGCGAACTGGGTGGTTCTTCGTGTTCGGCTGGTGCTGGATTTTAGCAATTTCGACAATCAGTTGCGCCAGCTCGTAATGGCCGCGAAAAGAAGCAACTGAGAACGGACTAAATCCACGAAGATCCATGACTGCGACTTGTAGCGGATGAGGGCCAGTCAGACAAAGTGACTTGACAGTTTCGGAGTCGCCCTTCCAAGCTGCTTCGAACAATTCGATGTACTTGACCTCCTTCTCTGGAGTCAGGTCTGGCACCTTAAAAGATATCTTCGTGGCGTATGGTTCACAATCCGAAACCTTTGAAATAAAATGGCTTTTGGGAAACTGGTCTTCGCTATGGGCCCTCGGGTACAGGTCGAAGAATGATTTAGCACCCTTGTCGGCAAGCTTGTGTTCAATATCACGCAGCTTCGCAATGGTGGCGTTGACGGCAGCATCCTTCTCCTCCTTCCCAACTTCTGAGCTTCGCATCCAAGCTCGCAGTTCTTTGTTGTATTCCCTCATTTGAAACCGTTGGATCGACTTTGCACTCTCCAGGTCGTGAAAAGCAGTCCAGTAACGGTAAGACTCTTCTTCAAAGCCGGTGAGGTATTCATCATCGGCTTTTAGTGCGGGAGGCTTCTCCAGGTTCTGAACCTTGGGGGATAAGGATTTCTCCAGTGACGAGATGCGGTCTCCGACGAGATCCAACAAGGACTTGGCGTCCACGCTCAAGGCAGAACATGGACGTTCCAGATATTTGTATGCGCCAGTAGTCAACGTATTGACATCCTCGCCCCTCTCGATTAGTTGACTGACGAGGTCCACCATTTCATTCTGGAGGGCAAGAGTGATAGGCTGTTCGACACATTTCTGGAAAAATTTCTTCACTTCTGATGGATCATCCGAGGCATTGTCGAAGCGGCGTTTGTATGCTTGCGCAAAGGACTCGAAGTCGATGTGTGGTTTAACACCCATTTGGATCAGATCCTCAAGAAGTTCAGGTTTCCCAGTGCGGATAGCAGTTAGCAAGGGTGTCTCGATGGTTGGCTGGCTCCAGTACCCAGAGACGACGATGAAATTGACGGCCTTGGCAAAGCTCGATGGATTAGTAGAGTGCATTGTCTGCAATATAAGTGTCTTTGCGCTGTTAACCGCATAGTGGAGGGCGGAGATGGAATTCATATCGCTGTGAGTCACTGTCAGCCACTACCGACATTGACGGAATCTATGACAATAATCCGCCGCAAAAGAAATATGGTTTTAAGGAGAAGGGAAACTTACGCCTGCGTGCATGACGCCCCAAACGCAAGAAGGCCTTTGACAGTTTCGTTGGCTTGCTGCAATGGAAGCTCCAAGGCCAGACAGATGGTCAGGATCGCAGCCTTTGCGTGCTTTGCGTTGTATTCATCCACAATCTTGACAGGAAGCAGGACGTCGGCGCCGTAATTGTCAATGAGGACTTTCACCACATCCATATGTCCCCCAAGGATAGCAAGGTGAAGAGGCGAGAGTGGACTATCCCAAGCAAGAACATCGACATCGTAGACATCTGGTCCATCCTTGTCTTCAGCGTCTTGAGCTTCGGAAATGCCGTCTACTTTCACAAAAGACCCCTCGGTCATGGCATCCTCTTCCCCGTCCTCGAAGGCTTCAGAGTCGAATGAATCATTGTCGCTGAGATCCTTTGCATTGTCATAGGCTTCTTGCGAGTTGTCAGTAACAGCCCTTCGTGCTTCTCTTCGTGCGTCTTCTTTGAGCGCCTCTTGTTCCTCGTTCGCGTTACTCTTGTCAAGAATATCCTTGATGATCTGCACCTCTCCACGGTGAGCAGCAAGATGCAAAGCAGTCATACCATTATACAGTCTGGAGACAAGACGAGCACCATGTTCGATCAGACATTGGACAATCTCAGGGGTGGAACACATGACCGCAAGATGTAAAGGAGTGCGACCAACGTGATCCCGACGATTGACGTCGACAGCTTCTAGTGCAGAGAACCAGTCTCTGACAGCATCGATATCGAGGTCGACTATTGCTTGGCACAACCTCGTAGTATTGCCGATATATGCCATTTCCGTCCAGTCCCTGTCCGTGATCGGATTAAAGCTGCCAATGGCCTGTCTGCCTGGATCATCTTTGAGAAATGTAACATCCCCAGATATGTGGATCTTGCTCTCTTCCTCGAGCGCAGCGAAGTCTTCATCGGTGGTAGCTTCCGGGCAATACCCACAGCAGTCGTGCAGAATGTCGTTGACTGAACCAAAGAAGGCCGGATGGCGATGCAACTTGGTCTTTCTGTCCTTGGGTTTGTTCCATTCAGCATTGAGGAGTAAGTCCTTTGTGAACAGAAGCTTCTCAACTCTTTTGGCGTTGTATTTGGGGCCATATGGGATAGTAACAGTGTGGTAATTGGAGACTTCGTCCTCTTCTGCCCATTCAGCCACGTCATCTGGTTGGGCGTCTTTGACATTTCCCGGAAGTTCACGGCGAAATCGAGCATTCCATGGCAATGGGGGACGTCCTCGTTCTGCTCGACGCTTTGCGAGGTATTCATCTCTGTCATTGGGATGTGGCAACTTTTCAAGAACCAATAGTCTCGCTAAACCTTGTACCCTTGAGAAAGACCTCTCAAAGATAGTTGGATCAATTCGACTGCGGTCGATACTGGGGAAAAACACCTCGAAGCCGCGATGAGAGTATTTGGACAGCCGATTTTCGTAAGATGGAGATCTTCTGGTGAGGTCGATTGTGTTCACCTGGGTCATGAAGGCCGCTAGTGCTCTAGGAGACGCCCACACCTGCTGACCATCGTAGGCCACACATGAACAATCAACGTCGAAACCGGTGAGGATCTCAGAAATGCTCTTGTACAGGCGGAGCACAATTTGGACATGACGGGTTGGGTATTCTGATACAATGGTGATGGCATTCTTCGTACGCTGTTTCCTGGTTAATATCGCACATGCTCCAGTACGATTAAGCTTTCAAGGATGCCCAACGACGCCGAGAAAGGTATTCAGGGAGCTTACAATGGTTGTTGTTTCGGCCAGAATGCTATCTCGGATCTTGGTCTCGATTTGTCTGATCTTCTCAATGGCTTGTTCCTCGTTCAGGCCGTAGAGGAAAAGATCGACATCCGAAGCAGGCGCGAGCTTTTCATGATAATAAGCTCGAAGGGCTCGCTAATGGTATGTTAGAACGTAGGGAGCAAAAAGACTTGTGGCTGGTAGTTCACCTTGGACTCATTGTGAGGAGCATCGACCGGCAGCAAAGAGGTGACAACAGCGCTTCCTGCACACACCACATTATTCCAATCTAGGTCGACCAGTGAAGACTCGGAGAAAAGGTTGAAATTGGTCCTGAACTCTTTCAAGGTCTGAGCGGTGGCAAGAGAACTGTTTTTTCTGCGAGCCTCCTGTGGGAGAGTCAACAGGTATTTGTCTTTCTCAGCGTCAGCTTCCTTTGCGAGATCTCTTGCTCGAACGGTAACGGGAGCATCCTTAAAAACAGATACCAGGTGGTTTGCGCGTGCAGCTGGGTGGTCAGGTTGCTGGGCGTAGATCTCCCTCAATTTGCTTTCAAAGGCCTTGAAGGGTTCAACCGCTTCAGCGACGCCGGTCTGGGTTCTGGGTTTCTTGTCGACATAGCCAACAAAATCAGAGACGGGGACTGGGAGATGGGGAAGCTCCATGGCCATTGCAACTGAGCTGGGCGAGAAGCGACGGTGTGTATTGGGATGGCAGCAATAATGAAGGACAGAAAACGAGGAGGGAAGGAATCAGCGCAAGGTGAACAGAGACGATTGCAGAACCAAGCTTTGTGTAATTGACCCGCCAAAGCAATAGACAGAGGACAAAGAGGATTGATGGAGGATATTCATCTCACGGGGAGGTGAAGGTGACGTTCATATATTGAAAACACGGAGTGAGTTCAGTTTTGGTCGGAAAAGGAACGCGTAGCCACACGCGCACAACACGTGAGATGAAGGCGCAGGCACCGGTAGCAGCCTGACCAAGTTTCACCTGTAATAGGCACCAGATCCGCATTGGCTCCCACGGGGATCTGGTTCTTCTACCTTGGCCTCCACGATCAAGAATTTCCGAGAGAGAGAAGCAGCAAAGTCTCCAGAAGTGGAGATGGGGTGCCTAGCTGCGCCTAGTTGCTGCCCCAGATCAATTGAGCAATATGGGGCAAAAGCTTCACCGTACTTTAGCGCAACTCCGGATACGGCATAGCAAATACCTGCTAAGTGCACTTTGATATTCACAAAATTTTCGTAGACTGCTCCCGTCACGCGAGCAGGGAAAAATACACAGAAAGGTTGAGGCAGATGCTTGCCATCCTAAGTGGAACAAGACTAGCAAGTCGGAGACCGCTACCACGAGCTCTCTCGGGGGTACAGTTCGCCCCAGAGACATCCAAACTGCTGGCCCCAACCAAATCTCCATTTTCGACCCTAATTCAGGACTCTTCCATTCTCGCAAAGATGGCCAACGACCACATTCTAACTCTTTCATGTCCCGATAAACCGGGCATAATTCATGCTGTAACGGGGATTTTCGCCAGGAACAACCTCAACATCCTCGACTTACAACAGTTCAGCGACCGGACTTCGGAGAAGTTCTTCATGAGAGTCCATTTCGGACCAGCCGACGACACAAAGTTCTTAAGACCCTCGTTCGATGAGTTGGCAAACGACATCAAGATGGACTACGAGCTCCGTCCCGTGGCTGAGAAACCAAAAGTCTTGATCATGGTCTCCAAGATCGGCTACTGCCTAAACGACCTCCTTTTTCGCCAAAAGACAGTAAGCGCCCTTCTCTCTGAAAGACTGTTCTGTACCTCTTTGGATGGGTCGTGGTTATGAGACTGCCAATGTTAGTATAAGTCTAACAGGTATCTGCAGGGGCAGTTGGCTATCGACGTGCCGTTGATTGTGTCGAATCACCCGGATTTCGAACCGCTAGCCAAGAGTTATAACATTGCGTTCCATCATCTGCCTGTTAGCAAGGATACCAAGTCCGAGCAGGAAGCTCGCATCCTAGAGCTCATCAAAGAACACAACATCGATTTGGTAGTGCTGGCGCGGTACATGCAAGTCCTCTCACCGACCCTCTGCGAAGCCATGTCTGGCAAGATTATAAATATCCATCACAGCTTCTTACCCTCCTTCAAGGGTGCTAAGCCTTACCACCAGGCCTTTGAAAGAGGCGTCAAGATCATCGGCGCCACGGCACATTTTGTTACTGCTGATCTGGACGAGGGGCCGATCATTGAACAGAGAGTCACAAGAGTCGATCATAGTATGACGCCCAAGGAACTCGTCGACGAAGGGAGCAACGTTGAGAGTCAAGTTTTGGCTGCGGCGGTCAAGTGGTGGTCGGAGAAAAGAGTATTTTTGAACGGGCATAAAACGGTAGTGTTCAACTGAGGTCAGGATCCAGTTCCACCCGAACTTCTTCCCAACCCTAGACGACATTTCCGGCGCCTGAGAGCCTTCCACCGGCCCAATATATGTCGCTTGGGCCATCGCCAATTTGCGATACGGTAAGACAAAAGTTAAACGTTGAATAAACGGCTTTCCTTCTGGCTTTGCTCTCGATCTCATTTGCGACAGAAGTAATCGGAGTTGTCCACCTCACATACTACCTTCGCCTTTTCTATAAAAATTATCCTTCGCACATCCTTGTATATTTTGCACTCACATGCAGCAAGACTAGCAACGGACAGACCCATCCGACCTAGATTAACCGTCCCTCCATACAGCAGTGGTTCAGCTCCACAGGGATTCTCGCTTCGTGCGTCAACGTGGGGAACGGAGATGCCAGCTGCATCCACAGGCGCGTGGCCGATTCGTATCATGGACTTGTCCGTCTATGAAGAATGCATGCTTCTGCGAGGGACCATAGGTATTGACAGAGTTTTTCCCGTGAGATGAATGTGTGTTCTGGATATAAAGACCGGCCTGGCGGTGCTGTGGCGCGGTGGGAGGAGACGGTTTGTTCGATCCACAGCTAACAGGCCCCAAAGTACGGACGGGGTATGCACCAACAAGACCTATCTCGACAGCGCAGCTTGTCAAGGACGGTATCATCCTCATAAGAAGAAACAGCACCCCGGATTGCGAAAGAAAAGGCACAAACGAGAGAAGCGGCCGCTAAGATCGACGAAGCACAACGCTGGGGACAACAATGGCGACAGGACTCCCCTTCGTTCTCGTGCATTTTGTTCTTCTCATCTCTCTTGCATATGCCCATTCTCACTCGAACATCCATTCTCATGATGCTCCCGGTGCCTCCTCCGAGGAGGCACCACTCTCCTTCTCCGTTGGCCCCAACTACCCCTATCCCCTCGAGGACCTCGACAAAGATCTGCCCTTCTCTCAACCCGTCACCTTCGCACATTTACCATGGCAGCGGTGCTTTTCCCCCCTTCATGCATCGGCCCTGGACATTGCCATTGTAGGTTTCCCCTACGACACATCGACATCCTACCGACCTGGCGCGCGCTTTGGGCCTAGGGGCATCCGGGCCGCGAGCTCCAGAGAAAAGAAAGGAAGGAGCTACAACACTGTATGGGGCATTGACCCGTTGACGGAAGGAGGGTTGACCATCGTGGACTGCGGAGACATCCCCCTCACGCCGTTTGACGCCAAGCATGCATTTCGACAGATGGAGCAGGGTTACCGTCAGATCTTGTTCCACAACACCTCCACGGCATCAGCAACGTCGTCGTTAGGAGGGAGAACATGGAACCATCCCCGCGTCCTCTCTCTGGGAGGCGACCACTCGATCGTTCTCCCGATCCTGCGCTCGCTCAAGGAAATCTACGGCCCGATTTCCGTCATCCACCTCGACTCCCACCTCGACACCTGGGACCCCTATGCTGGCTACACCGGGATCGTGTCGGAACAGAGCGCAATCACGCACGGGACGTTCTTCTGGCACGCCGCGAGGGAGGGCTGCATCGCCAAGGGCAGCAGCGTGCACGGCGGGCTGAGGACCAAACTATTCTCGCCCAAGGACTACGTCACGGACAAGGAAGTGGTGGGCTTTGAGATCATCGAGGCGCACGAGATCGACGACGACCCCAGGGGCATGCAGGGGATAGTGGACAGGGTGCGCGGCATCGTCGGGACAGACGGGCCGGTCTATCTCAGTATCGACATCGACGTCTTGGACCCCAGCATCGCCCCCGCGACGGGCACGCCCGAGTCCGGAGGCTGGACGACCCGCGAGGTCAAGAGATTCATCAAGGGCCTCGAGGGCGTGAGGCTGGTCGGCGCGGACGTCGTCGAGGTGAGTCCGCCATATGACACGGCGGCAGAAGTCACCAGTGTGGCCGCCAGTGATCTGCTGGTCGACATATTGGCCTTGATGGTCAAGGATGCTGTAGGGAAATTGGAGACGGGCAACGCCGCACAGGGGGTAAAGGATGAGTTGTAGATGAGGTTCGAAGCTCGTGGCTTCGCGAAATATAGTGTACAGAGTATAGTCGAACATGACAACAGGATCGCGCCTTGATGTGCGAAAGACAAAGGGTAGCTTTGGGGAAAAGGCGGTGGAACGGTAGATTGAATAGGGCGGTCCTCGTAAATATTAACTTTGGAATTAATCAAGTGCTTTCATTTTACAGCTTGGCCGCCACGAAGCACCAATGTGGCTTTTGGACGCCCTTACGCGATTAGACTGCTGGAAGCAGACGATCGCTCGCAGTAGGAACGCCCTCCATACCTTTCTCGGATTCTGTATCTCAACGATAGCCAGTTCGCCGGGGGGGGGGGTATCATGAAACTCATCCCCATACCCATCCCATCCGCATTCCAATTCGTATCCCAATGGCGACAGACCATGGGCCTTTTTCACCGCAGACAATACACTAGAGCGTAACGCCGTTCGGGAACAGCCTTGTCGAACCACGACCTAAACCCTCCCAGTACATCGTTAATCTCATCGACCTTTACAGATGGCCTCCTCCACGCGGCAAAACCATAGCCCGAGACGCAGGGTTTGCCGTATGACGTGGGATGGCACGATTCCACTTCTCAGGCTCACCAAGAGGTCGTCCATTTCCTCTTCTGAGGAGTTGGCTCGGAAGCGCTCGAGTCTTTGTATTGCGGCCCTCTTGGCAGATTCCTGGCGATCTCCAGCCAGACTTTGCGTATCGTCGGCGGGAGACTCTCGCGTTTCCTTGGGCTCGTAACGGTCATCCACCTTCATCGCTGCTAATGTCTCTCGTTCCTGCTTTCGAGGTTGCTGTGTGACCTACACACGAATAGCCAGACAATCAGCAAGAACAGAATCCAGACCTGCCCTGTCTTGTGGCCCAGCGCCTTCCCAGCCGTAGTTGTCGGTACCGTCGACATCCATACTATCTTCGGCTGGATCAACATGTCCATTCGTCGTCGTCGCCGTCGCCGCACTCGCGGCTTGCTCTTGCTCCGTAAGCCACTGATCATGATCATAACCGGCCGAAGCATTGCTCAGGCTGTATCCAATACAAGGCATTGCATTCCAAGGTAGAGGACCGACCTGAGCGGTGAGTTGCAGATCCGCCATGCCGATGGGACGTCTTGCATATGCGACCTGCGCTTCAGTCGGTAATAAGTCATCATCACGGGTCTTGCTAAGCCTCCCAGCCTTGATTTCCTCCTCCTCGCGGTCGATTTTCCTCTTGTAGGAGCTCGTCAAGATGCCTCCGCCCGCGCTGTGCTCGTATCTTGGGCCGTTGGGCCGTGTTCGATTCATGACCTCAGCCAGCACGCCTTTTAGATACGTCTCCGCTGCAATTCCCACTAGTTCGGCGCATTGTATGGAGCAACCTTGCGCGATGGACTCTTCATAACAAATGGGGACAATCCGAGAATGTATCGCCGTTGTATCCGGAAACTCGAGTGTCTCTGAGAAAAGTGGCTGTAGATATCTTTTCCTAATCTCCAAATCCCAGTTCGTCTTCGTCAGTCCTCCTGCGACTGCGCTTGGGCCAGCCTCGGGTGCTTTAATTCTTCCAGCGAGATACAGGTCTTCATATGGGTTCCTCCGAGCTGCCGCCTCCTCATCTGCCTTGTCATTCGCTGCTCCTTTGATGCGTCGTCGGTCACGGGCGGGCAGCGCCATCACTTCGGCTTTCAGTCGCTGTTCGCTTGCATCGCCCGTGGCAGCGGGTTTCGTGCCCGACGTCAGGGCAGACTTGTCCGTCGTTGCGCTGACCCATGCTGCTAGTCCAGGATCAGGAGGGTCTTTGCCGGTATTACAGAGTATCGCGAGTATTAAAGAATTGTGGGCATGTTCCGTTTGAGGAGTCGCATAAATGAAGACATCGCAGAGGTCGCCGAACTCTCGTGCATTCAGTTCACCTGTCACCCAGAAGTCAGCCTCGCCGTCCTATCTCCTAGTGCTACTACGAGGAGGCGAGCATGGGAGCTCGGGGTTACCTCGTATAAACCTGGTTATAGCGTCGAAATATGTGTCCCAGTTGTGGCCGATTAGTGATTTTAGTTCGGTATACAGAGGTTCGAGATCGACTCGAGGATAGCTTTGGGCGGCTTTTTGCGGTTTCGACGTAGAGCCCGGAGGAGCCTTTGGTGTGCTCGTGGTCGAAGTGATGGTATCCGATCGTGTAAGAGCGGCGGGGTTGAAGGTCTCGTCGAATGTCGCCATGTTGGGCGAAAGAACGCGCTGGGAGTTTAAGGGGCGCGCATGCGCAGCGCTGCACAGATGAAGCCTTGGTCCATGCAGGAAACCAGTGCGTTGCTCGGTTCAGCACGGGGTCATGTCGTTGATGGCTAGAGGACAAAGGAGGTTGTTGGACTTTGTCGCAGTTTTGTGCGGGAGAGTTTGCGGAGCAGTGACATGGCAGCCGAAGACGAGGCCTCAACCAGCCTGGGAGCCCAACCCGCGCTTGCCCGCGCCGCCCTTTAACCGCCGCCGTCCTCTAGAAAGCATTCACCCTTTTTTAACTTACCTATGAAGAAGTACTTAGCCTTTATTTTCCTTCTACTCTGTGCCCACCTACTACTTACCTAGGTACGGAGCGCCTGCGCCTGTCTCTTCTCTACTTGATAATAACTTCTACTCCATATAAGCCTCGGACGCCATACGGGACATACCCGCAAACCCCGCCGAGATAAATATATTTACTCCTGTCTCTCCCCTCCAGGAAGAACTAATAGACGTAGGCGTATTGGCCTTGGCCAGAGCCAGTATGTCTACAGACAATACCAACAGGCAAGAGCCGAGCCTCAATGTCAGGGGGCTTCCAAAACATCAATAAAGTCATCCAAAGCCACCGGATCAGTAGAGTGCCAAAACATCCGCCTAAGGTCTAAACCACGCACGCACTTCAACTGATCAGGACTCGATCTTCCCGGAAATACGTCTAGCGCTGTTGCTGAAGCAAACCAAAACTGATGGGCTGATTGTGCTCAGGGATGGCGTTGTCGTCTACGAGCATGATGGTCGGATCAACACTAAAACGTCCGTTCAGGTAATATTTTCGATATCAAAACCGATCACCGGTCTTCTCTGGGGTCTCCTCGAGGAGCACAGCAAATTCAATACAACTACTCTCATCATACGTCGCGGAGGTCAGGAAATTAGCCCCTAGAATTGGATCAAGCACATTCTAAATAATGGTATCTCGGACCGCTTTTGCTACTGGTTCATCCAACACTGACCATGAACAGGAACGAAGTTCCAAGACTGCCCGCGTACCGTTCCAGTCAGGTTACAAACCTAAGCAGCCAGATGTTGATGGCCTCCGGGACTCACAGGCAGATTTTACTTCTGACTACAAGGGTGGCGCTGTGGTCCCCAAAACGAGCTCGCATCCTAAGAGGACAGATTGGGGAAGATCCGCCGCCTTGCTATACAGGCTTTCATAGAGTTTACAAGGATAATAGAGGCGAATGATCGGTGAGGGTGTAGTGACACCAGGCATTGGGTTGAAGAGGTGACGTTGCCGTAAAGTGTCATTACTTCTAGTCGACCGAGTGCTTCGTGCAGGATGGACATCCGCCAGGAGCGGTTTGGTTGAACGGTTTGTGATATTCCTTGTCCGCAAAGCTAACTGGCAAAGTTGAATTTCAACTTTTCATTAGCCGTTGGAGGAATGCTGTCTCCCCTGTGGCGCAAATTGCAGAAATAGAACGTTCCACCAGGGCTGAATTCTACAATCACCAAGCGTCTGAGACATGCCGGGACAGTGTACTAGAGTGTTTCCATATAAAAGATAGATACTGGAGATGCATTCGCAAGGGACTATGCAAGACGTGTCGCTGTCGCCATCATGCGACGATTCAATTAGATATCCTTGTTACAAGCCGCACTGTTAGCAATGAATTGACCCCCTCAAGCGCCAGCACAGAGCAGTAAACTTCCGGATGAGGTCTCGTCCCGTGTATCTGACTTGATGACCCACAACCTAATGGGTTACATCTTAACCCTTCTTGCCCTTCTTACCCCACCCGATCCACCTATATCAAGGACTAGCGGCTGGGTGGGAAGGCTTATCGCCTACTGTCTATTTTAATCTACATATCTACACCATTATCGTGTTTACATAATAATCTCAAGGCTGGGTCGTATAGGTATACAAATAGAGTAATCCCGATAGACAGGTGCATACGAAATACGCGCTATCGAGGTCATATAGCTACGTGGCCCACTCCAGCTATGTGAGCAGCAGCCACATGGGCTGCGGGATAAGGACGTCGCCGTCAAAGCCGCACATCGGGTCGAACGTGAAAGCCTTTGCCACGTGGAGGACCCAACGCGGCACGACGCTCCGAAACGTCGAGCAGATGATAGGGAGCCAGGCCTCGCTTCGGGTGGTTTCGATTGACACCTGCCTTTCAACCAGTACTTCGAGCGTGGCGGTGATGGATACATTCAATCGAAGCTCTCGAAAATTGGCCTGGGTTTCCAATTGCGACGGCATGACTGGCCAAGCTATCACTCATGTCGAATGTGATTCGTTCACGACCTACGTGGATGTGAACTTGTCCTGCAATGCAAGCACTTGCTCGTCCACATCCGTTCGTCACTCTCTTCAGCCATACCGTAACCGGAATTGGACCGTGAGTGATGGGACTGATTTTTTACCCAAGGCTTTGTCCAAGCTCTTGGGATCTTTTTCCCTGGCACCAGTATTGCCAGAATGAGCTCGCGGCTGCTATTATTCATGGCTATCTCAGCACCGATATATACCCTTCAGGAAGAAGCGCTTTTGAGCTTCGCATGGCTCAGATTCTCAACTATCTGCTTGTCATAGGGACTCAACCGCAGAATGTCACCGGACAGTTCGGCACTATTTCCGGCCTCAGTCCAAGTGTCATCCGTCACGACAGATTTTGAGCAGGATGTCGTGTACTGCCATCGACTATGGTTGGTCGTGCTGCTCGTGGCGTCTCTACCGACCTTCCTAGTGGCCCTTGCGGCTGCTAGCTTGCGCATGGTCACCACGGTGCCCGACGTGTTGGGCTCCCTATCTATTGTCATGCTAGACAATCGAATTCGTGGCGTTGTGGGCCAGTCGACGTGGAGTGCGAGTGAATGGGCCCGGAAGTTGGGTGGCGTGAGGGTGCGGCTTGGGGATATTTCCAATATTTCCTCGTCCCAACAGTTCACACAGGTGGCAGTGACTGCTTCAATGACAGATAAAGATATTCGCAGAGGTTGAAGAGAGTAGACGAGGCCTTTGGAAGATTACGTAGATAGGATACACTACCATGAATCATTACGATCGTCCTTTTGGCCGTCCTATCTGAGTATGTAGTCCTAGCAGCGCTGCGAACAACTAGCACTAGGGCACCATGAACTCGTCAGATCGCTGGAGACGCAAAGGAGTGGTGGCAGGAGTTGCGGGCAATATCCTTGGGATCAATTATACCACAAAAATAGAGACAGAAACATTGCATTGTCCTGGAAATCGCCGCATTTTGTTTCGTGAACAAACTGCGTCCTGTGCTGCTTCCATGGGTCAAACTCGTTTGCGCACGATTCTGTAGATTCATGCACACGCTGACAACACTGGAGGCTTCATCCATCAAGCCCGAAAGCACGGCCTCATTATAGAGCCCGGGAGGCGCCGAGAGCGGTTTAGCGAGAGCCCAGAGGTTGGGGGAGCAAGTCGTGGTAATAGAAGGACGGCACGACCAATGTTCGAGCCTCCTCCGAGGAGTTTGCCAGCCCGCTGTCACGGACATCGACAATGAGATCCTCAATGATTTTATTGGAGAGCTTGCCATCCGGGTCCATGACTGAGTTCACATGTATCCGTTCAATTCTGGAAGCCAGGTCGAAGATATACATCGAAAACAACTCTTGCGCGCAAAGCCTGGGGATATGAGTCCCGCCGTCGACCGCAAAGGCTAGCCTCTGGGGATTGGTGTTGCCTGATGGTGCTGACCTACCGGCCAATGTCAGAAACTCTGTCCCTGTCAGCTAATACGCCGTCAATGACTTACAAATGGTTGACTGAGGGTTCGACGGCGAATCGCCGTCCAAAACTTAGTGCAGGATCAAATAGCTTGCCTCTCCACTCTGTCCAGTGATAATCACGAGGGACTTCCGATAGAGGAGTTCGCAACCAATCTTGAATCAGGCCGGACCTTTTCACCTCTGTCCCAAATGCATCCACTACCCGTGCAAAGGGGAATTGTGGCTTGTAATTGACGCCGGCCCTTCGCTTGACAATGCGGCAATGCCAGAGGCATAGGATAGCCGAGTAAGAGTCCTTTACTCTCCGTATATGGCCGTCTCGATCGGTCGGGACGGCGTACCAGTAATTAGGAAGTGTGTTCGGGTCGATGGTGAATGTTGACCTCAAGATGAGATTTTTACTTCTACGCACGTACGTAGCGAGTTTCCAACTTCTGGTTCGTTCGACGTTCTTGAAGGTCAAACGTGGCCATCGGCCAGAGGACATGACCTCCAGTTTTCGAAATACGTCCTCGGCGGCAGTGGCGACGCGTTCTCCCCATGTCGTACAGTCTTCCTCCCACTCTGTGAAATATCCTAGTTCCACTCTGGTTCGCACCAGGCGGTCCTCCCAGTGCTTGAGCAGGACCTCGTTATGGCTATCTGGGTCCTTGAGCTCTGGTTCGCCTGAACTGGATGAAAATGATTCAGCATCTGCTTCAATATCGTTTGTCTGGCTTGGATTCCCTATTGCCGTGTTAGGGTTATTCCCTGCCGTTGTGTTAGGATTGGATATCTCAAGCTCGATGCCTGTGGAAAGACCCCAACCGTAATTCAGGTATTCCGGTTTGACCTGATCGGCGGCTGGTGCATTGGCCTCGGGGACCCAAGGGTAAGTCCAGCTCGCTGGTCTCAGCTTGGTTTGTAATTTCACTCTGCATATAGCAAAGGTAGCGTCAGAAATTTCGTGTTTTGACAGGAGCTTCTCGCAGCGAGGGTCATCCAAGAGATTACGTCGAAGCCAGGCGCGTATAACAATCATAGCCATAGTGGCAACGAGTTGAGCGATGGTGGCCCCCCAGTGTAATGTTCGAAGGCCGATGAATTGCACAATAAAGCCAGCGGAGGCCGAGAGTGTTCCGACCAGAGTGAAAGTTCGATGTCTCCTAACTCGCATAGTGTCGGGTAAGCGTCGCGACATAGATATGGTTGGGTCTCCGTCCTTATTGTGGATGAGATATCCATCGAAATTCTGGGCACCAGCCGTACACGATCTTTGAATGCGCATGACACTAAACCTTTCGGGATTCCGGGCGGGCACGGCGTGTAGCTCAGCAGTCACATCCTCGACTACATGGCCACATAGAAGTACTCCAAAGAAAAGGAGTCCTGCTCCACCGACGGCACAAGGGAAGCCGTATCTAGGTGGAGGTCTGTTTGCTCTGCCCACCTTCCAGTGATAGGTAGTTAGAGTCCACACCGTAACAACAGCAAGTTGCAAAACCAGCGCGAGGACTGCGGCAGCCCAAACTCTTTTCCACATTCTCATCCCTATTCCGCCCTTTCCGGTGTATACATCTCGGTCGATATTTAGTGTCAAGTTTGGGGCTGAAGTGCTGGAGGCGATCATCAGTTTGGATAGGGATCCGTTATCTTTGATGGTTCCCCCTAGTATCCTGCCGCCACCTCCAGTACGGATGATGTTATATCTCGTTCTCGGGTGTAGCGTCGTTGAGGTCGCGTGGGCGGTTGAGGTAGCTTTGGCAAGATCCATCCATTCCTCTTTTCCCGCACATGCTTGCTGACCAGACACAGGCATTACGTATCTAATGATCTCCTTGATGGGCGCCTGGCCAGCGACTCGAACGATTTGGTTCCCACCCCACAACTCACAGACTTCTGCTGAAGTGGAAGAGAGGACTTCGACCTCGGCGCTCGCTCTGCTTTCTCGAGCTCTTGTGCAGGGCAGTTGTTCTGTTAGATAACCTCTTATTTTCGCAATCCAGAGGCAGGATCCTGAGGCTCACCTTCCGATAATAGCTTTCAGCCAGTTGGCTCCGGCCACACGGATCGCACTGACCATGATCGTAGGAATCCCTATAGGGGCAACTGCAAGCGCAATATTGTCGTACCAACCGGTGGACAAGGCTAGAAATTGTTTTGTGGGCAAATCCCCGAATAGGGCAAGGAGGAAGCCCAGGTCAGAGATCAAATAGTTTGCAAAGCTGTCAACATCGAAGCCGGCTGCGGTGGTCGACGACGCCATGGTCGAGGTACGCCGCTCTGGTGGTCTAACATGACATACAAGGCTTTGACAAAGGAGCTGCTATTCTGGAGCAGGTGCGCTGTCTTGTACTCTGAGGCTGCCAAGTGGTGAACACGAGAGAGACTATGGGGCTGAACCCAACACGAGCACTCTTCGAGTTGCGGCATTGTGGTAAGTTTAGCGCGATTGTAGTGGGTGCAAGTAACATCTCTGTTCACGAGAGCCGGGTTTACAGCTCGAGCAGACTGAATGAGCGAGGAGGACGAGGCAGTTGTGAGCAAGGCGCACGCACGAGCAGGCACGGTACACGCTGTTCTACAGGTTACCAAGTTTTGTTACTGGCTGGTAGAACGAAAAGTTCGCATTGTGATGAAGATTCGAAGGGAAAGAATAATTGGTTCCACCTCATGGCGAGCATCGAGGTCAGCCAAGCGCTTGGCTGCATGTGAAGGCCACTGAAGGCGAACCCGAGTTCACATGACAACTCGGCCAGCGGGATGAGAACTGGTCTGGGGGGCCGGGTAAACAGGTGATTGATTGATTGAAAATCTATCTGGAGAGCGAGGGTTTAAAATAGGGGCAAGATAGGGGTACTGGGTAGGAGGGGAAAGGTTGCTGCAAATCATGGTTACCACCATACATGCGTCCCAGCAAGGTACGAGGGAGTGCTCATTGGAGAAAGGCGCCTGGCTGGATTTCCTTGTGCTGGTGTTTTTGTGGGGGAGGTATTTCTACCATTTGGGTAGCGTTGAAAGTGTCAAAAACGCGAATCTGTGTCCAGAGTTGAGCGTTCCAAAAGCTAGGTGTCAGCGCGAGTCTTGTACCGTGTACGTGGTCTGTTCCTGCTACCAGGCTGCGAGCAGTTTGCCATGCCCTGGCAAGGCTGTGGTTGAACCAAAGACCATCCACTTTTGAGCACCGATAGCGGGTGGTCGTTGGAGGACTTCAACAAATGCCCGTTCTAGAATGCTGCACGCAAGACGGAGACGAAGCCTTTCCGAATGCACAATACCTGTAGTGATTCTAATCATTCCACCGTTTGACCTTAACAAGCCGCGAAGGTGCCGGAGCCTCGTTGTCATTGCATCAGGCTGTCTCATCCAGGAGACTGGCTACATAATCCATCGACTCATGACGCCGTGTACCTCGTAATGTCTATGCGCCTCTCTAAACTATCTTGATCTTCCACTTCTTGACCGTGGCATCTGCTCCCGTGCTGTAGACGGTATCTCCGAGCCAAACGAGACCATTGACCCCTTCTTTATGTGCATTCGTCTCTTTCACTCGCTTTCCGGGTTCCTTCAAACTCCAAGCAAAAATGTTGGTATCTAAGCTTCCAGAAGCCGCCCCTGTCCCTTCTGGATTCCATGCGATGCAGGTGATCTTCGCCGTATGAGCGCTCCACCGATCGGTTACTAGCTCAAGCGACGAACTTCCAGTTACCAGCCCTGTAATCCCACTCCTGACCTTGTAGACATAAATCTTCCCCGCTGCAGAACCGGCTGCTAACATTGAGCCATCATTTGAAAATGACAGGGCTGTTAGGGGATGGGCGGAAACTTGTTCGACGAACGCAACCTGCTTGGGTGCTTTTCCTGGCACAACCGAGAACAAGCGAAGGCTGGAGTCCTGAGAACCGATTGCGACAGTGCTGCCATGGGAAGCCAGAGATGTTGGTGCTGATTTCAAGGGCAGCTCGCCGTCTTCTTCCCCATCTTTGTAGACAATGACACTTTCTAGCTGAGCTACAACCAGCAGAGAGTTGGTGGTGCAGGTCAGGGCTTTCGGCTGTGATGACAATCTTGTTGACTTCCCCATGAACGTCTTTGCTCCGGCGTCGACTGTTCTTAATGTATCATCCCAACTGACAGCAAAAACTTGGGGGTGCTTTCCAGAAGGCGTAGCGGCAAGTCCTGAGATGATGTTGGTGGGTCCATCCCCTTCGATTGTCTCTGCTGTACCGTTTGCAGCATCCCAAGAGCACAATCGCCCTTCGGAACTGCCTGTCCACAACGTTGCATTTTCAGCATCCCCGGAAGAGGTAAGCGCTGTGATATTTTTCTGATGACCTGAAATGATCTTGGAGGGCTTGCTCGAGCTAGTGTTCAGATAATTGAGATCCCCACTGAGTGACAGAGATATGATCAATCCATCTGATCTGCCTGCCGGCCATACGACGCCGACTTGCTGATCTGAAACAGCCATACCATCACCGAAAGACCAAGTATGTGTGACTTTCCCAGCCTCCACATCCCAGGTCTTGACAGTCCGATCCCCCGAGCATGTCACAAAGCTTTTCGAATCTTTGGACCATGAGACCCCAAAAATGCTGCCTTTGTGGCCTTCTGCACCGTCGGCGACCTCGGTCTTCACCTCCCCAGTTTTGCCGTCATACAGATAGATCTTCTTGTCACCACCGACGCTTAGCAAATGGTTGCCGTCAGGCGAGAAGGCAACTCCATAGATGAAATTCGTGTGGTTTCCTCGGCCAGGGATGCCATTGAATTTGAATGGAGCCCCGTGATAGAAGACCAAGTTCTTGTCATCACCTCCCGTAGCCGCTCGCAAGGGTCTTTGCTGTCTTATGCTGACAGCATTAACCTGTGCAGAGTGCCCGCTTATCTCTCCTACTGTGTTCCCCGAGTCCGCCGTTACGCAGTGTCCGAACCGTTGTTTTCCATCTCCTACCGCTATAATGCGCTGGCTATCACCGTCCCACGCAATGTCGTTGATTCGGCCTGATATGATGGCATATTCCCCTTTCGTCGCTCCTGATCCATTGGGTGAGCAGTCCCAGACCCGAACAATGCCTGAAGCATCCCCAGAGGCACAATAAAAGCCGGAAGGCGCGAACCTGGCGACGGTTGTGGTGGTGGTGTGTTGGGTATACTGAGTGGATATGGCAGGATTGTCGATGGATCGAATAAATATGGACTTGTTGGCGGCATACGCAATGCGCTCGCCCTTGGAGTCAGAGCTCAGAGGGGTAGGCAAGCCTCTTGAGGTGGACGGGAGTGCGGCATAGATGCCTGCGGCGCTGATGGACATTTTATTTCATGTGCGAGCGTCAAAGGAAGAATGCGACCACCACAGATAGTTTTATTTGCATTGAGATGGAGGTAGTTGACTGTCGGCCGCAGCTCACAAATAGACTTCTTGTTTGGGCAAGCGGGAGGAGGGCCGAGAGGCTGGGAGGCTGTGATGCCACAAGGCTACGAGGCTACGAGGCTACGAGGCTACAAGGCTATAAGGCTATGAGGCTACAAGGCTACGAGGCTGTCTACGGGATTTGGGCCTGCTAATTTGCGACTACACAACTACTATGTAGTAGAACAAACACAATCAGTGATTGCGTTGGTGTTTCCATCTTCCGAGCCCTATATCTTGATCGATGGAGAACATACGGAGATTGACAGGCTGTGAAGGTAAAATCGTCGAGGATTGCGATACCCAGACAAGCACAGAGTTTATATACATCGACTTCCTCTTTGAACTGCAGCCCTTTTTCTGCCACACCGTATCCACCTCGGTCCAAACCACCTGCTTATCAATTTGACCACCGAATTTTGTTCACGAATTGCCAAGCTAGACACCAAGTCTAGTCGAGGTCCCCCCAACGCACCCTTCAAGGGAGATGGATAAAAGGCGTAAGACCGATTAAGTTGCGGCACCCGTTGGAATAGTGGAGACTTTCCGCCACCTCAGCCCAGTGTATACCATTCACCCCGCGGTATCTTTGGAGAGTAAATCGTGGCATGATCGAGCAAGTTGGCTGCGAAAAAAATACCCGATCCTTGGGGAAGGAACGGTGTTTTCCCTCCTCGAAACCCTTTTCCTAGTACCGGCTAGGGTGGCTTTCGAGCTAGGTTTTTGATATTTTTGCCGATTGGAGATTATCGTTTGAGTTGTCTAGATTGCGGCTCCCGATCAGCCTAGATGAGATCACTGCCTCTCTTACATGCAGTCCGAAAGGCTTCGAGGTAGCGGGTTCGATGTTGACTGGCATTCGTACTTTTTGCAAGCGGTCTGGGACGCCGATATTGCCAAAGACCAGCTCATTTTTGCCCTCCTTGGCAAATTAGGAGAGCCACATTCACCTCACCCGTCCGGTGTTTAACATTCTGCCCTGCATTTCTTCCTTGATGATTTCAGGATGCTTGTGGATACTTGGCATTAGTCCCAATGCTATCGCTCTCCGAATGGCCTTTGCGATCTTTCGTTGGTTAACCGCTCGCAATCCCGTCGAGTTCGAATGTCGGATCCGGCCCATCTCGGTCACATACTCAGACATAACGGAGAAGTTCTATAGGAGGGTTAGCATACGTATACCACATCTCTTGAGGCTACAAGCTCACTTTATACAAGCTGAGGGGGTTCACAGATAGTGCGTCAAAAGCGTCGGTCGTAGGTCGATGTTTGACTCTCCACTTGCGAGCTTCAGCACCACTCAGATCATGAGGGGCGTACACATCGCCGGCTTTCCAAGGTCGCGTCAGCTGTCGTGCAATCGCATGGTTTTCCTGTGCCACCGCTGCTCTCCGTTCCGCCTCTTTCACAGTCATTCCGGCCGCGCGTTTGAAGGTCTCTGTATTGCATTAGGAAACCGCCCTTCTGTCTGGCATTGGACAAAAGACGTACGGTCAAGGGGGGATGAGGCGACATATTTGCTTGCACGACCCAGCCGCAGCCCGAGGTTGGAGCTGAGCTGAGCAGACATGGTTTGTTAGACTTTAGAAGCGAAGCAATGGTTGGAATACGGAGTACACTGGCTGAGGCCGTGAGGGAGGTGTAGCATTGAGACTGCGTTTTTCCGTTTTCCGTATGGAAGAAAAGCCGGGAGGAAGGTGCGCCGACACTCCGCATTTCAATCGCGGTAACCACCTGCATGCTTCGCAGCAAACATCATGCCACCACGATCCCTCAGCTACCATCAGCACGATTCTCCCCTCTTCCTCCTTTTCGACTATGGTTCCCGTGCTGTTTGATATCTAAAACACCATAGCAACTAGTGCACAAGAGACGTGCCATGAAGTTCTCGCATTTAACCCGGAGCGTGTTCCGCGCAATTCTAGCCAATAAACCCTATGTCAGTCGAGACTGTCAAAGGGCCATTGGAAGAACACCATTCTCCCAGTACGCACGCACGTCCTACCACTTCCATCAAAAGCGCCATCTCTTTGGTCTCAACTTTGGAGGTGCTCGGCAAGGCTTCCAGGGCGCTAGAAGCACTCCCGCCAATGTCGAACTTGCGTTGAGCAAGCTGGTTGATCTCGTCAGAGCAAGAAGAAGCCAGTCTCGACTACCCCCCGAGAACGAGGTTGTCGATGCTCTTAGATTCCTCTTTACTTCAAGGATCGAGGCGCCGAGGCGATTAACGAGAAATGAGGTCTTTCTGGCCACGGAGGCTTTCAAACATCTTCAAGAGCGTGGACATATTTTGACCGAGGACACTAAGACGGGTCTGTCGGAGGAAGACCTCGATAATATTTTGCTGGCATTAGCATCTTCTACAGGCCATGACAGATTTCGGACCGACGCCCGGATTTTGGCAACACTCGTCTTTGATACACTCAAAAATCTGTCGAGACCGGCGGAGGATCTCGAGGCTCCTGTGGAACAGGGTCAACATCGAGCTCAAGGTTCGCTCTTGTTGACATATATTACTGTACTGTCCAAGACAGGCTCCGCTCAGGATGCTCTAGCACTCCTCCGCAAGTCCCCCAACAACTCCGAAAGAGCTAGCTTGCCAATGTGGACTGCCGTTTTGAGAGGTCTTGCAAATGAAGGGCGAATGTCGGAATTTTGGAAGGTCGTTGAAGACGTACAGAAAACCGTCGGGCCTCCTGATGCTGTCTCCCAAGAGGTCTTGATCACTTATTTCGCCCAGCATGACGAGATTACTACTTTGAAAAAGGTCTTCTCGCTACCCTTGGAAGAAGGCCAGGTGCCGACGACGCCGACCTTGGTCAAGGTTGTTGACTGTGCGATGCAGAACGGGGAATTGGAATGGGGTGCAAAAGCTGTGCATCTGCTGCAACAGAGGGCCGATTCCGGAGATATGGCAGGAACTCTGCTTCTCTGGCATGCTACTCATGATCCAGATGTGAACCATATACGGCGAATGATTCAACAGCAATCAGAGCGTGGGCTCACCGACGCAGTATCTATGAAAAGCCTTAACCGTGTGATCGAATACGCCTATTCGCAAAACAACCCTGAGACCGCAACACGCTATATTGACCTGGCCGAATCTCTTGGCCTTCACCCGGACGCCAGAACTCGAGCATTGCAATTAAATTACGAACTGAAGCGAGGGGATCGTGCTGCTGCAGCCCAGGCATACGAGCTCCTCTCCAGAGAGGATATACCTGTCGATAGGTCGGACGTGCCAATTCTGAACCACTATATTGCTGCTTTGTCCTTTTCTGCAGACCCTGAGTACATCCACCTCATGCAAGTTGTCGACCATCTTATCGAAAGTGGAGCGGAGCTGGAGGCTGAAGCCATCGCTGGCCTGTGCCACGTCTTCCTCCAAAGGGATGAATTAGAAGAAGCAACAGGCCTGCTCCGCCACAGGGTCGACTCCTATCCCATGGATGACCGAGCTCGAATAGCCGCAGTCTTCCGTCAATTCATTGTTGACCCGACCGTCAAAGATCAACGCGCCTACAACGCTTATGAACTGTTCCGGCACGCGTTCCCGGAGGCGCCGGTACGAGACCGCGTTACCCTAATGCAGTCATTCTTTGATCGGAATCGTCCTGAGCTAGCATGCCTTGTGTTCGGCCATATGCGGCAGCGTGAAGACCTTGAAGCTCGCCCCACTGCCGAGGCATACGCGAAATGCTTCGAAGGTATCGCAAAATGCAAGGACATTGACGGACTGCAGATGATTTACAATATGCTCAAACTAGACCTAGAAGTCGAACAGAATACACGCATCCACAACGGCCTAATGGCAGCATATACAGAGTGTCAGCAACCCTTCGTCGCGATCATCGATCATTTTTGGAAGGTCATGGAGTCACGCGAGGGCCCTACATTGAGCTCCTTTATTCTTGCCCTGCGGGCGTGTGAGAGGTGGATACCCCAGGGTGGACATGAGGCAAGACGTATTATGGCGTTGATGCAGAGTTTCAACCTCGTCATCACGAAAGAAGTATATGACGCCTACATTGGCGCTCTTGCTGGCCAATCAGAATTCGAAAACGTTGTGGAATTGATCGAAAACATGGAGCGTGATATAGGCGAGCCACCTGACGCCGTGACCATCGGCACATTTTATAATGCCATCCCCTGGCAGTATCGCAAAGACGAAGTGGAGAAGTGGGCAAAGAAGGCCTATCCGGACCTCTGGGCCGAGTTGGAAAGTTATGGCGATGTGATTGATGAGGAGTGGGAGATTAGGTATTTTAAGATTGATCGCTCGGTGGATATGGACGATGAATTATTGTTCCAGAAAGGCCAGTATCATCCCATCATCGCACAGGAGAGTCATGCGATGCTGGACACTCCTGTGAAGTGAGAAGCGTTCCATAGTCCGATCAGACTTTTGTGCTTGATATTAGCCGGGTTAGATGGGGTTTTGGTTTCGATTACTATGTTTTGACAACGACGGTATCATAGATCTGCTTCTGTTTTAAAAAATGGCCTTCGATAAACGAAGCACGCGAGCGGCCCTGAATGGGGAAATTATTGTTTCGCTAGTTGAATTCAATATGACATGGCCTGTCCTGTTTCCAAGCCCCAGCTACCAGAATGCAATGGCTGATGCTCGCTGCCGCCATCTGCTTCTACATAGAACGCCTAGATATCTCCCGGGTGATTCACTCGTCGTCTAGCAGGAAGATCAGGCCTCTTATCATACCTCCTGGTTCTCTTCTTCACTCAGATGGACGACAATGGGGTGATTCGGTCATTTCGCAATCCACCGCCCACTGGACCAAGTTCAGCACGGCTAGCTGGACAGGGTGCTTGTCCGAGCCCTCCCACCTATCCAGTATCTTCGCCACCTCCTAGTTCCTCACACGCCCACCTCGGAGATGACGACCGATTCCAGCTCACGACAGTCTATGCAATGCTCACGGCCTTGTCTTGGGCAACACGAGCGACTCGCTCGGGCTCGGGCCGCTCTTCTGCTCACCGTTCTCCCCCTCTCCCGGCGAGACGTCCTTCAACTGCGTGCTCGGATGCTTGTCCGCGTCCGTGGGCTTGATCAACTTACCGAGACTGACCCACAGATCAGGATAGTTTGCCTAAGGGGGAAAGTTCGTTCCGTTAGTAGTTGCTCCCGGCATCGAAATATGGGAAGGCAGTTTATATGCAAAATATGGAGTAGGAAAGCCAAAACTCACCTCCGCCTCGGCGGTTACTTCCTTGTACTTCTTCCACAGATCATCCACCTTCTCATCCACGTTGATGTCCTTGCCGCTCAACATCTCCGCATCGACTTGCCATAGATCTTCGTACACGCCTCGAAGGCCATTTCTGAATTGCAACGCCCTATTCGGCTGGTTCCTACTCTTCAGGAAGGTCAGAAACCCTGCAATCACGGTGTTGATGGCGCCGAGGACGGTTATGGCGATTCTCGCGGAAAAAGATCAGCCAACGTCTGTGATGATACGGATGCAGGGATAGCAGTAGTCTCTTCTAAATGCAAGCAGGACCGGCAAAGAGAAAGGGCAGGATCTCACTAGTTGTCCCTAGAGCAGTGACGGTGGCGCCAATGCCGATTTGAAGCCAGAGCATGCTGTGTGAGACGCTCATGACGATGTAATAGAAGCGAGTTTGGTCATTGTAGGCTTTTTCTAGCCGGTTGCGGAAGAGGAATTGGCCAGGTAAATCTCCTTTTCGCGATCAAGTGAATCGTCAGTATTTTCTGTTTCAGTTTATTGTACTTTATCCTTGCGTCGGTTCGTCGCAGATGCGGGTTTTTCACGTCTGCGTCTTTCTCGCAAGTCTTTTGTAAAGAGAATCGCAAGATTGGAGCAAATCACACCGGTTTCGGGCTTAATTCCCACACGTTGACGGAATTCTGTGCGCTTGTTCAGACTCCGACTTGACCCGCTATCAGAGCCAGGACCGCCGCCTCTGCCACCAGCGATGCCAAAGCTAGGATTTGGCGAACCATCAATCTGAGTTTGGGTGGCCGTTGCGATAGATTTTGTGTCTTCGACCAACGGGGCGCGGCTGTCCTGAGACATTTTGGCAGGATGGGGACGGGATTAACGCCAAAGCCAATGTGATCTTTCCGAGGGGAGTTGACCTGTTTGAAATTTGCTCTCACACTCTCGCAGATTTAGAATGAAAATCAGAAATGAGGGCGCAGATCGCCTCGCTGGGGAGGATTGGGCTTTTTGTGAGTCGCAGCATCCATAAGCAGAGGGCAGTTCAGCAGCAGCTGATGCTCTCAGTAAAGTATTGCACGCCCTGCAGCTCGAGAGCAGTGAATGGACTAGTCTGTATGCATTGTGATACGAGGAGTGTGGTCCAGAATGAAGCAGACAGCAGAGTCTCCCTATAAGCGAGGCCCTTCGACCACTTCCTGGAATGCCAAACACGAGAAAGGGGCTGATGAGGATGAAGCCGGCGGAGAGCACATGAACCATTAGAGCTGGTGACACGAGAGTCTCAACGATGCTCACGATAACTCTGCAGAAGATGACCATTTCGACCTCGAGGGTGTGCATCAATGTTAAGGGCTTGCCAGTCAAAGTAGTTCCCGCAAGGAGTCTTTCCGTGTTCGAGGATCGCTTTCAGCCAGCCTTTCACCGGCTGGAGGTCGATAATGGTCCAGAAATTCGGGAATGCGGTGCTAAGTTCAAAGAGGATGGTGATGGCTTCGATGGGTTCAGCTCGGAAACGGTGCGCAGTCAGCCGCAGTCCAAGCACGGTTAGCGCAGTTCTCGCCAGGCTGGCAACGTGACCACGCGAACGCCAAGCATTATGCGAAACTGCCTCCACTACCTCGTCTATTTTCTGTTACACAAACTCACTCCATACCTATTCCTTCCTACCCAGGTATCCAGCCTTGCCAGCTCATGGCAGAGGAGGCATGATGACCACGCCCGTCTTGCACAGACGGGTGCTTCCATCCTTCAGCCGCCCCGTGTGCCTGTCGCCTCTAATGACCCCTCCGAACACGATACGATGAATCGCATGTGGATCGCTAGCCTCTGGACCCGTCGTCCCTAGAATCTCATAGTCACGGAGCGTGGTTTCCGATGGATTGAGGCGTCGAATATCCTGCTGCCACTCGTATTCGATTCTCGTTTCACGAAGCAGCAGTGCAACTGTATAGGCATTGTCACACACATCCTGAAGTTCTGTTTTGGCGTGATCTCTCAGAGGGGAGTTTAAAGGGTGCTGGCATGTCAACCCGATCTGGTCCCATATCTGATCCGCAGCCATAGCCGGATATTGGTCACGATCACCCATATCCAACAATTTGGCGATTCGAACGCTGCTGGTTCGCCACTCGATCAGTTCGTCAGCTGCGTGTTGTCAGTCAAAGCCGATTGAATGGTGGTCCTCGACAAACTCACAGTTGCCACATCTCGCTAGTACACTATCTTCCACCCATTTGAAAAGGCTGTCGCTTCGGTGATCTTCAATTCCGAAGAGCATAACCGTTGGGTGAAAGAACGAAGAGTACAGTCCGTCTGCAACGTTTGCGCGGGTTGCAAGCTCCGCAATCTCGGGACAAGCGTCTGGATCATAGGTGCCCTTTGGAGACGGTATCGGCTTGCTGAAATGGGTTTTGACCAATTGAAAAATGTCACTTCTGAGCATGGCGAACCTTTTAACGATTTCGTCGTCCCCCGAAACAGCCTCTTTGCGTCGGGCACGAAGCATCAGCTTTTGCATTTGTGCAAGCCTAGCTTTGTGACCCATGAGTTGCCGCTGTAACTCCTCGTTGAGATGTCTATGTTTGCTTAGTTCTGTCTGGCAAATTGCAAGTTCGTCCTTTAGCTTGCACACTTTGTCCTCTGCCTCTTCGCCGAAGGCGTTGGAGAATTCGAGTGGAGCGTTGCGCTCCTCGTGTCCATTGCTCGTTGTCCGGGAGATCTGATGACGCTGTCAGGTTATCAGCAATTGCTTTCGAGAATTTCGTGGTCGGAAGGAAAAACCCCACAACTCACTATCTGCGGACAATGTGGTAGGGCTTCAGAGTTCAGCTGCTCCGATCTCTCCGGCAAGACTTGCATGTTGATTTTATTCACGTCTTCACGCATAGCCTCAAGCTGCAAGTGAGCATCCTCGTACAGATAACAACGGCGTTCTTGATATTGGTCGCGTATCAAACCATCCATTGGTGCTGACGCGGCTGTCCTTCTGCCCTTGGCAGAAGCATAGAAGGAAAGTCGCTCGTGTCGATTCCTCTCCGATGATGATACAGAGGTCCGCAGAAGATCAAAAAGACACATCAGGTGAAAGAAAGGGTTGTTTTCTGCAGTGAACATTTAGCAAATTGCAAACGAGCTTGACGCTCTTGGGGCCAGGAGGGAAGAGTGCATGAAGGTAGGAGTTCATCAAACTAGAGACATATTTCTAATAACAAACTCAACCTCTTACAGACATTGCCTTGAACGCGAAATATCTAAGCGCCCTAGAGACCGGGGAACTGCACCAAGTCCAGGGGCTTTGGCCGAAACAGAACCGACCCAGGGAAAGACCATCTACCCGCCTGCAGATTGGACTCCATCTTGAGCTCAACAGCTTGAATTTCGACGGACAAATCCGGATTCTTTCTAGCTTCTGGTTATGAGGGAGAAAGGAGTGCAAGTGCAATCAGGTCTTCCCGAAAAGATGCCCGAGATGAGGGCACTAGAATCTCCAAATATTCACGAGCCATCGTTTCCCCAAATCCCTGTGTCAGAGAAGGCTGAGTCTCTGTAAGGCCACAACCAGAGGATTGTCTCATCCTGCAAATCCACGATCTCGAATATGTTTTGCGTTGTTCTAAGTAGACGCCCATGTTCAAATAGGTCTCAGTCTATACTCACAATATGTTTCATAGTGCCACAACCTGTGGGAGGCCGCTTTGACTGGTCAGAGGCCTCCGAACCTATTAGCAGAAGAATACCGCAGACGCGAGACCAAAAAGGTCCGGGTGATAGGGCGTATGTCGCCTTTAAGGACTCTAATATGTCCTTCTCGCATCATCTTCTCTAGGTGCGACGTTGTTCACAGGGTTCGTTATTCGGATAACCATGGACTCCGCATCGTCTACCTTTGACAACTTACTTGATGACTTGAGCGACCTAGCTCTTAGCTATAAGGATACGAGAGATAGTTTGATCATTGCCCTTGACTTTGGGACCACGTATAGTGGGTATGTCAGCAAATGCCCCTAGAGATATTCTTTTGGCTGATGCTGGAAAACAGAATCGCTTACGCTCTCACAACCGACCCTGAAAAGGTGTTTACGATTGACTCGTGGCCGGGCGGAGACAGGAATGCTCCGAAGACACCGACTGCCCTTCAGTATGGATCGGGCTCAGTTACAAATCTCAAATGGGGCTATGAACTTGATCGGCTGGAAGGGGAGAAGATCCAACACATCAAATTACTCTTGGATCCAGAGCAGCCAAGACCGTACTTCATTCCCACAAATATCGAAGCCGAAATGGCAAAACTGCCAAAACCTGTTGTCGATGTAGCGAGTGACTATATGCGCGCAATCTTCGAGCACGCCATAAAAGAGATTGAAGGCCACTTCCTCGTGCCAGAGCTCTTACACAACTTCGATAAACAATATGTCCTTACAGTGCCTGCTCTCTGGTCAGACAAGGCAAAAGACATGACTTCCCGGGTTTGTGGACGATTGGATGCGCTTATGCCATTGGACGCTGACCATAAAGAAGGCAGCGGAAAAGGCTGGTATTTCACCGGTGGACATGATCACCGAGCCAGAAGCAGCAGCTCTGTTTACTCTGAAAGATGTGAAGAACAAAGGCCTAAAGGTAAAGAAAGCCTGCTTGCGCATGTCTTTGCATTAAACACCCTTCAGGTCAACGACGCAGTCGTCATCTGTGATGCGGGAGGTGGCACTGTTGACCTGATCTCCTACGAGATTCTCAGCTTGGCGCCCTTTGAACTCAGGGCTATCACGAAGGCGTCTGGTACGTTGTTGCTCCTTCCTCTCGGCCTCACTTCATTTGAGGCTCATGAATTCAGACTAGTAATGGTTGCTTTCCCAGGTGCTGTCGCCGGCAGTAGCATGATCGATCGCAACCTTGAAGAAGAGATTCGAAAGGCTGTCGGGATGAAGCGTTCGTCTCATTGAAAAAGACCGAAGGCTATCAAAATGCTCTGAAAGAGTTTGCCATAGCTATCAAACCAGGTTTCCGTGGTAAGGATGATAGGGACAAGTATTTGAGCTTCCCAATGGCAAAGCTCGAAGACAACCCTGCGAATGGGTTGGTCAAGAATTCGATGACACTCTCAGGGTAAGTATCGCTGACTTTTCGATGGGAAAGATGCCTGCTCACTCGGACAGGGCGACAATGTTCCGGCCGTTTGAACCAATAGCTCGTGAAGTTGATCGCTTGGTCGGGGAGCAGGTCAGTGCCGTCAAGATTGAGCGTTTGCAAGCTAGCCCGCCCAATCCAAATGGCGTCAAGGTTTGTTCTTGGTGAAGCTCTTTGGCCAAACTGTCTGCTGAAATTTGCAGGCAATTTTCCTTGTTGGCGGTTTCGGATCAAGCGACTATTTAGCAAAAGCCATCCAGAATTCAAACCCTGGAGTCACGGTGATCCAGCCGAAAGAAGCGTAGGACTCCCTGCCAACAAGTGGACCTTGTAATGTCTAATCAGATCCCCCAGGTGGTCGTCGATTTCCAGGTGCCTAGAAGACCCTTTCATACAATGTTCACAAATCTGACCGAACCAGGGGTGCGGTTTTGAGTAAATTGCCAATGTCAGCGTCTATCGTGGTTGCAACAAAGGCCGCGAAACACTATGGCACAACCGCATTCACCCCATGGGATCCCACTAGAGACACAGGCTTTCCGAAGTTGCGGAGCCGTTGGACCGGTCAAGACGAATGCGAGATTATGGATTGGTTCATACGCATGGTACGTTTTCGAGAGTTGACGCTTTGCTCCCACACAAAGCCGCCCGACGTACCCTAAAAGAATGGTTGAAGGACACACTCACTCTCTCTGCAGGATGACGAACTCAAACGTGGCAAGAAAATAACCTTGTCCTTCAATCGGGAATTCCCTGGGCATAAGCCTCGTGGAGAGACCCTCCGAATCCAAGACGAACTATATGAATCTACTGCCCTGTCGGTGCCGGAACACCCAGTCAACAGTGAGTCGAGTACACTTGTCCGACATGCGCCAATGTTCATGTCCTCTAACATCACCAATCGGCAGTCATACTCAACTGTGTGTTGCACACAGATCTTAACGGTGTTCCTAGGAGACTATTTAAAAAGAAGTGCCGAGCTTCGGACGGCGAGCCTTACTGCCAGTTGTCGTACGATTTGCAAGTGGAGAATACCGAGTCAGGACTGCTGAAGTATTCTCTGTTGATCGAGGGCGAGGAACATTCTGCCGTGGAAGCAAATTATTGAGGCGATCTCTACACGAATTCGTTCATGCACAGGTCGACAGGCTGCTTCTGGGTTACCATGTCTAGGGATCGACTAAGTTGTCGCCGTCCCTCGTCACTGCTTGTTTCACGTCATCGCCACTCCCCATTTCTTACAGCCTCGCCGAGCCTTCGATACAGATGCTATGGTTGTGGTATCAACGGAGATCTTCAGGGCCTCGACAGCCTTGTTTCTCATCCAAAAAGTGATCCAAGTATCTCCAATCCCCTAATCTGGCCCCTTTTACGGCGTTCACGGCGTTCTTCATAGACAGGTATATACATGCCCTGACAGAAGGACATCGTCCACGACTAGAATAGGAGACAATCTGACAACATCCTTTTCGCCGTTCTTGTATTTTTCCTATGCAGATCTCCGGAGATTTCGCTCTCTGTTTGTTCCTCACGGAGAAACATTTTCATACTACATGGCACCCTCTCCCGGTGAGGATGCTTTTTTTTTTTGGTTTTTTTGGGCCCGGAATGCTCGACTTTGGAGACGACAACGATGGAATCGTACTTCGCTGTGCTCTTAACTAGGTCCCTGGCCCGCTGCAGCTGGCCAAACCAATCGTCTTTCTCGCCACGACTTGCGTTCCCCAAGGGAAAAATGAGAAATGCGGGGGGAGAGAGGTTTTCAGTTCGGATGGATTCGTGCTGGCCAATTCGTATTATGGGTACCACGGAGAGCCTGACAGCCATTTACGTAAAGACGATCGTCATTTTCTGGTTCCTGCCCACTTCGCAGAACCTTGTTGCACACGCACGAGGCATGGCGAGCATTAGCGACGGCAACGTGCAGCAACCGTCTTGGGTTAAGCAGCTCTTCCTATCCCTGGTCTTGGAACGTGGTTGGTGGATGGTGTTGGCAACAAAGTTCCAGTTCACAGCTTTGGATGCTGGGTGTGACCAAGCGTCGACTGGCTATCTTGCTCCCCCTGCGTGTTTCGCAAACTCTTTCCACATGGACTCAGGAAATTGGTGCTATAATTTGCCTATCTCCTCCGGAAAGGACCGAACGAACCGAGCAGATTGAGAGTATAAGAATGGGAGGCATTTCTCTGGGATAGTTCCCTCAAGGCAACCACCTTTCTTCCAACCTCTTCGTATTCCCCGGATTTTGTTTCGACGTATTGGTCTCTACCCAAGTTGTGCCCACCATGTCACTTTCCGGCAAGATGACGCTCATCACAGGGGGCGGCAAGAATCTTGGTGCGCTGATCGCCACCCTCTTCGCGGCCGAGGGGTCTAATTTGGCTCTGCACTACAACTCTTCGTCGACGCGAAAGGCCGCCGAGGCCCTCGCCGCAGACCTCTCCTCCAAGCACAAGGACGTCAGGGTCAAGGTGTACCAAAGGGACCTGACCACCGCGGCAAATGTCGAGACACTATTCAACAGCGTCGCCTCAGACTTTGGCCCGAAGCTGGACATCGTGATCAACACGGTCGGCATGGTTCTCAAGAAACCACTCGTCGAGATCTCCGAGAAGGAATACGATACAATGTTCGCGATCAACTCCAAGGCGGCTTTCTTCATCACCCAGGAAGCCGCTAGGCGGATCAGCGACGGCGGCAAGATCATCAACACGGTGACTAGCCTCCTAGCCGCGTACGCGCCGTCCTATACCTCCTACCAAGGGAGTAAGAGTCCCGTGGAGTGGTTCACCAAGGGGCTGAGCAAAGAGTTGATGCCGAGGGGTATCAGTGTCAACGCGGTCGCTCCAGGGCCGATGGTTAGTATGGCGGATGCAAGGTTGAGACACATTAAACTGACCGGTCAATGAATTAGGACACTCGTAAGCTTCTCCCTAGACCTCTGCCGGTCCAGTGCTGCCTCTGTCAATCTCGAGCAAAAAAAAAAAACAGATCTTAACACCCATCAATATGATCGGTCCCATGATGCTCAAAGGGGGCCAGACTAATTGTGTGGGATAGCATTCTTCTACGGCCAGGAGACGCCCGAAGCAGTCGAATTTCACAAATCCAACGCCATCGGCGGCCGACTCACAGACATCAAGGACATCGCTCCGATATACACGTTCTTGTGCACCGAAGGGGCCTGGATCAATGGTACGTTTTTTTTGGTGATTTCTATCCCCTGCGGTCATGTTCAGATATGGACTGTCCCCCCCTTAAATGGAGAGGTTGGATCTTCCTTTTCGTAGAACAGAGGAGGAGTTCTCAGAGTGTGGAGAATTGTAGAGGGGCCAAACCTTTGCATTATTCCTACGAGGCGGCAAATGCTAACATCCTTTTTTAACACCACGCAGGCCAGACGATCTTCGCCAACGGAGGATACACGAGTCGCTGACCCAGCAGCACCAGTGGACAGCAAGAATTTTTGGTACTCGGTATTTGAGGCGGACTGGGTGTTTGAGGGGGTTGGCCCAGGGGGTAGCTTGGGTAGCTTGTGTGGAATCGAGTACTGGGTATGGGAGAGGATGAAGAGTCCGCTTAGGTGGGATCCATGATGGGGGTTGCCGGCTTGGCATAGCCAATAATAGCATATTAATTGTACCCAGTACAGAGGAGCATTACATGGCCTAGTGCTAAAGTCCTCCCTACTCCCTGCTCCCTGCTCCATACCGGCTCGCCGGAACTCATTACCTCGCTTCCTCCAGCACACCAACCCCTACTCGGTACCCTTCCAGTATTAATATATTACTCGGTATTAATACTCGCCTGTTTTCCCCAATCCGGCAAGGAGAACATGGCACAACCCCCGTTCACTTTCATCGATGCACGGCCATTGAAGAAAGCTCAGTCCCTTCAGATACGCCGGGAGATCAGGTCGCACGCAGCACGAGTGGTTGTATGTCGTGATCGGTCACTGTCCCACCCGACTCGACGGCCTCCACACAAAAAGCGGCGCGAGTCATGTCCTACCTGGAAGCTTCACATCAGTCCGAAAGCACAAGGCGAAGCGCAAGGAGAAGAAGGGTTGCCGATTCCTCCACGCCGCCCAGCGACAGCGAGCAACAGTCTGCTGCTGACAACGCCCTCTGGAACGAGCATGATTCCAGCCTCAACGAGCCCCATCTATTACCATCCTCTTGTTTCCGTAGTGCTGGACAACTGTAGGTTACCAGTTGCCTGCCCCATGCCTGCCCCATGCCTCTATGTTCTAGCCTCTTCACTGTTTAGTTCTACATTTTCCAATCACCCGTGTGCGCTGATATTGGCCCAGACCTACAGCATCTGGCCGTGGCCGTTCCTGAGCTCGACGGCGACAGTCGCTCGGCGCTCCTCCAGACCCTGTGGTTCCCCATGGTGCTCAGCTCGCCGATCGTCTTTCAAGTCATCGTTCTATTCTCGGCGTCCCATTATGCGTCCCTGCGTAATGACTTGACTCTGGCCGAGACAATCCTCTCTCTGAAACAGTGCGCGCTTTCCGGCATTGCGCGGGCTCTCTCTTCCGACACCAGAGGCCTGGTTGTTCGGGACGAGATGATTTCGGCGGTCGCCAAGATGGCGAGCTATGAAGCAATTTTTGGGGAAGAGAGCGCATATCACTGTCATATGAAGGCGGTGGAAATGATGTTGAAACTGAGAGGCGGGCTGACAGCCCTGGGACTGGAAGGGTTCCTGTCGCGGCTGCTGGTTTTCATCGACACGAACTCGGCATTCCTCCTCAACACCCACTTACACTTCAGGGGTTCGTCGTTTCCGAAACTGGCGAACCCCTTTATCATGCCGAATCCCAGCCGATTCGTTGGAGAGGTTTGAATGCATGTGTACCGAGTACGGGTATCAGGGAGTTCTGGCGAACATTTGCTGGCGAAGATGGGAATGAGATTCGGGGGATAATGGTTGTAATATTACATGGAAACCCAACCAGGCATTCACTATCATATAATATGTAAGATACTTGGCGAGTCGGTACTCCAATGCCAGGGCCAAGTAGCTATGTACTTGTAGTACCCAGTATTGCCAGTAGTGATATCGAGTCAGGCGGTGATGACCAGGCCAAGTTGGGCCAGACTAATCGATAACCGCTGGCCTTCCTCTTCCCCACCTCGGCCCCTCACCCAACTCGTCCGCCTGCGCCCCTCCAGCCGCTACAGGCCAAGTACAAGCTTCCACACCACACCACTTTCTCTCTTCCGAGGTTTTGGTCACCGCCGAATCCAAACCACTTGTCTGACACTCAACCTTCTCCGGCATCCTCCACGTCCAGCCAAACCATGCAGGACCATGGGCTTCCATCCTCTCCGTCAGACAGCCCCCTTTGCGCCCAACGCCGAAAGATCACGCGGACTTGATCGGGAAAGGAAGAGTCACCGGAATGGACAAGAGAAAGGCTGTTGTTGAATGATCGACTTCCTGCGTCTCCCTGACATTCACTTCAAAACTCGCACCCTCACTCCCTGTTCTCTCCTCGCATCGAGGTGGCTGGCCCACAAGATATCCTCTCTCAACCAAATAGCCCCTGCTGGACATTGCCAGCCACTGTTCTCTATCTCACAACCCCCTCAACTGCGTCCTCCCAATTGAAGCCAGGCATCCGACGTCATTGGTCTCCGTTCAGGGCCAATTCCATTACCGATCCACATCCGCGATTCCGTACGCTCTGGTCATACGACCCGTGGGAATTGGGAGTTGGGAATTATGAAAGACCATAGCTGCTCGCTCTGCTGACTATTGTGTCTCCCTCCGGCCTCCCAAATACACGTTGCTCTGCCAGCCATCTTCATCCTGTCCCACGATATCTCCTGCAATCATGTCCTTCCTTCGCAAGACGTCGGAGCCGGCCTTCTTCCCCATCTTTCCTACATATCTCCTCCCCTCGATCCCTTTCCGCCGCAAGTCGCGTCAGTCGAGCACTGACAGCAACAGTTCAGCCAATACAACCACCTCCACGGTGACGGCTGCTTCGTCCTCTTCGAACCCCTTCACTAGGAGTCCCACCCCAACGCCCATCCCTGTCTCGTCTGTGTCATCCATTGTCGTTCCGCCCGGAGACAAATTTCTCAATGGCCACAGCTCTCATATTCAATGTGCAAAATGCTCCACAGATCTGTGCCTGACCTCCCAGATCATAAGCAAGGGCTTCATGGGCAGACACGGTCGAGCATATTTGGTTCAAGGGACAACAAGCCACATCCACACCCCAGCTCCCTCCTTGCCAAATACGTTTCAGAACAAGTCCATCTCTCGAAACCTAGTTACGGGCCAACACATCGTGAGCGACATTAGCTGTGCCGTTTGTGGGAGCATACTGGGATGGAAATACGTCGAAGCCAGCGAAGAGAGCCAAAAATACAAGGTCGGCAAGTTTATCCTCGAGACCAAACGCATTCGCATCAATGTCTCCTGGGAGAATGAGGAGGATGACGCTAGCCGCTGCACATATGACCAGGTTCTGCCGCTTCCTCCGAGGGAATTGAGAAAGCTGGTCGACGGGTCGGCCGGTCCCGCCGATGATCTCGAATTCGACTCGCAAGACGAGGACGAGTGCGAGGATTTGTTTGCCGGCGTTTGGAGCCCTCAACTTGCTGCCAAGAGGCGGCAAAGGAAAAAGGAACGGTTTGGCAGGCGACCCGTCGGCAACTTGATCAACTTTGGCGCCGCGAGTAGCACCGATACTTTGTCATGATCTGTTGCGGCTCCTTTGTCTGCTCCAGCTCGACCAGGGCTTCCACCCTGAGCCCCAAGGCCTGCTCAATTTTGAGACCATATCGTCCAGTTCCATGGGAACGAACACGACTCGTTCCGCCCGATCCGGGATGATCTTCACCCGCCGGATCCTGACTCGCGCTCACGCCCTCAGGATGCTATTATCGACAACTCCTGACCAGAAATTACAACAGTAACACCCCAGACGTCTGATTGTTTTTCACGTTTACTCATGGCATACATGGCCTTTTTTTTTCTTCTTTTCTTTTGGAATACCCCTCGTCGCAATAATATCTTTCTGCTCAGCGGAGATTTTTCTTTTCACAGTTCAACCATTCATATGATACCCATCACAGATAGTCAGTCCATGTAGGGGCGTTTGGGGGGAATTGAAATGTCGGTGTGTCTAATTTCGACTCGGTGCTAACGAGCACGGGTGGCGATGCTTTTTGTTGGCTTTTTGAGATTAAAGCAACCTTGGATGTCTACCTGGGGTACGCCCTGGGAGAGGGAGGGGAGAACCCTTTTAATGCGGCAACGTTGGAGGAGTGTGAGACAGGAAGGACGATTGAACGAGCAGACAGGCCATTCTTTGACATAGCCGTTCGCTACATGATGACGATAATGCAGATGAGGGCAGTGATTGATGATGATGATGATAAGGAGGATGAAGAGATGATGGGCCCATGGCCTCAACTCTCATAAACATACTCGGGTACCTGTCGCTATCTAGAGGACTGTTAACCGGACCCCGTAGTCGGTCCTGCAAATACTGGTCCCCTCCTTCCTTCGCAAAGTCAAGCATCCTTTTCCTCATTTCTTCTCTGTTCGTCTCTTTCCTTTCCTCCCCTTCCCACCCAATCAATATAGTCCATTTCAATTTCAATTTCAATTCCATTCCCATTCCCAATCCCAATTCCGATTCCGATTCCAATTCCCATGCACCCTATGAACGGCTTTCGGCGTCTGGAGGCCAACGCCGAACCAGGCGGGGGAGCAGGAGCATTAATTACCCATGTACCTATATGTAGGTAGGTATGCGGCTCACGGCGTGGAATGCCCGCGCCTTTTATCAAGAACTGTAAATCTTGTTGTTCAATCGTAAATTGGAGACCGTACACTGTACTCCTGTACCGATAGTGGTACCGGTCGTGGTGGTGTTGTTGGTGGCAGCTGTTTGATTTGAATTGATTTGAAAGTGTCCGCCCCTGTGTTTACTGTCCACGCTGCACTGCACCGCACGGCCCGGCGCGGCACGATGCCCCGTGAAACACTGAAACCATTCTTTCTTGCTATCGCCGGAACCGAGCGGCCTTCCGGCCTGCCGACACTACCATCCACGACAGCCTGCGTGCCTTCTCAACTGTGAGGGTGATGATGGTGGGCATGGCGGTGGTGCTGGGTCTCGCCGCTGTCGGCGCCTTTGGCCTTCAGACCCTTTCCGAACTTGCAGCACGCCTCGTGTCTCCTGAGATTGTCCAGCCTGGGAAATCGCCTTTTGCACCCCAGCCCATGGTACTTGCACAGCGTGTGTTGGTGTTTGGGCCTGTGCGTGGCCATGTGTCTCTTAAAATTCGAGCCTTCGCCATTCAGGAACGTGTTGCAGATGTGGCAGTACATTTTGTTGCCGTTGTGGTGGGTGGCCACGTGCTCGTCTCGCACCTGTTTGTACATGAAGGATTTTGGGCACGAAGGAAAGGTGCATTTAAACGGTCCCTCGGATTTGTGGACGTGTTGATGTCGATGGCCTAACGCGTTGTTGGCTGACGAGGAAGAAGAGGCTGAAGGGAACGTGGTGAGGAAGGACGCTAGATGTTTCTTTGAAATATGACCTGTCAGAGCGGCTTCGGAGCCAAAGTCTGGAGAGTCACAGCCTTGCCATTGGCACTTTGTTACGCCTTTGACTAAATGGACGGATTTAAGATGCTTCTTAAGGTCGGTGCCTGTGGCGAAGGAGGCGCCGCACACGGTGCCGCAAGGCATCAGCCATTGGCATGCTCGAGAAGTTTCTGGGGCAGTGACTGCATTAAGGAGGTCTTTGGTGGAGTTCAAAGGGTCTTTGGAAGGTGCAGCGGGAAGAAGGGCTTTTGGCTGAAGGTTTGAAGTTGTAGTGGGGTTTATTTGGCCCGCTGTTGGAAAGACTGGGAGAGAGGGCCGCTGATGAGCGGTAGCGGGATGACAGCCAAAGTCCAGTCTAAATGGTGGTAACGGAAGTTGCTGACTTAGTCCAGGATCGCCGGTGCAAATCTGCTCCTGGGCCAGATTATTCCAGTAGGGAACAGTGCTGTCAAAGCACTGATGATGCATAGGTACATCGAGAGGAGGTGCGATTACATCGGCCTGGGTGTTAGACATCTCGAAATCTTGAAAGCTGGAAGGGTCCGTTCCATCAAATTGGAGGTTTGGGTCCATCAAGGTATTCTGGTCCAACAACGGAACAGGGAACGAGAGACCCAAAGTCTTATCCCGTTCAAACTGAGACCAATCGATGCAGTCGAAGCAGGAAAAGTCACATTCACCGCAGTTTCCTTGACATACAGCGCCTTCGGGGCACTTGATGTCCGTTTCTTCGTTGCATTCCTCGCAGTCGTCGAGACAGTCATTGGCTCGTTGATTCGCTTTCAGGTGCTCTTCCACACAGTCCTCGCAGTCATCAACGCAATCCTCACAGTCCATAGGACTGGGAGAACTGTGGCGCGGTTCATCGCAGCAGGCCGTAAAGTCATCGGCAGACGGTCCAAAGTCGACCAGGCTGTTGGCTCCATGTTCGTAGTCGACACAGCAGTTGAGGGCGCCCGACGGACGGAAGGAAGAACCTTCGTCCTCGCCACAACAAGCGAACTTGTGAGGCTCTGTGGCAAACTGCGAAGGACTTCTTGACGGGACCTGGCCCCTTATCGGTGATCTGTAGTTATGAGACCGGTTTGCCAGCCGCGCCTTGGGCGGGAAGACATCGATGGGATTGACATAAGGCTGGTGATGGAAATCTTGGGCCGTCAGCCCCTGGGGAGATGTTCTACCCATAGCGATGCAGCATCAAGCGACGGCGAAGCCCTAGTCGCTCCGACGGTATGGTTTTTCTCGGTTTCCTTCGGCTGGACGAGGGAGTTTGCAGGAAGTTCCCAAGGCTGCAGTTAGTGTAACGTGGGGATTTCGGGGACGGGAAAATCAGGCGGGTTGCGTGTCAAGTGGGATGTTCCGGGTTTATAATCTGGCCAAGCCTATTCTAACCTAGAATGGGATAGTGTTATTTTTCCGAGAATATGGTCTCTTGGCATGACGTCTGTCTTCTAATCCGCGTATGGCGGGCGCACGGGTTCACATGCCGAATGTTGACCAGTCAACCAGTACAAAGTACCCTGCGAGCCTGTTCGGAGTACAGCTGCTATGCTCCGCTCCGCTCAGTCTGCTTTACTCAGCCTCATCCCTCCGTCTTCTTCACTCTCTTGACCTCTTCCCGTTGCGTGAATTCTAGGAACTCCCTCTTCTTGTCGGCCATTCGTTTCTCGTCCATATTGTCCTCCCATTTCACCAGAACATTCTCGTCGTCGTCCATCAGATCACTCATATTATCCAGCCCTTTCCATTTCACAATCCCATCGCCCTTGAGGTCGGCCACTCGTTGTGGGTAGAACATGTGGCAAGTTGGTCTGAATGCCTCTCGGCCGCGGGGAGTGTTGATGTCCTTGATGAGAGAGGGGAACAAGAGAATCATGTTGCGACCTTCGTCCATGATAGGCGTGCGACAATACGCGCAAGAAACCTTGCAAGGAAGGTGGTGAGTAGTGGACTTTGCGGTGGGATCATACCAGCCTAGGTCATGGTGACCGTTTGTGAAGTTGATGTCGGATTTGTGGAAGATGGCGGCCCATTGGAAAGGTGCCTTGGGGCTCGTTAGCTGGGGCGCTCAAATAGGCGGTGAAATCATATAGCACTCACCCCGTGGAGCCTCTGACACGTCGTACAATGACAATACTTGGCTGCCAACGGCTTGTCTCTGCTCAGCTGATATGTGACTTTGCCACAATGACAATGACCCTCCCACTGGACGGGGAATTCTTCATTTTTACTGTGAATACGATACGGCTCGCGATGCTTCCACTCATCTTCTGGGCGGTCGGTGGAGGAACCGGCCTGGTATTGATGGGCCTCCGGCTCCTCGTTGTCTTGTTTCGAGGGTTGGTGGTCCTGTTCTTTGCTCATTTTGCTGGTTGTGAAGCGGCGGCTGGGCTGACGGTAGTTGTTGTTGATCCGGTTATGGGTCGGGCCGAGATTATGAGGAGGTGAACAATATGAAAGGGGAGTGAGAAGATGTGCTCTTGGACAACACGCGGATGAATATGGAGCGGAACCAAATCGTAAGAGCTGTCTCGTTGATCTACGTTGTCGCTGAGGCTGCAACTGAGACCCGAGACGACATAAGGATCTGAGATTCATGAGGATGAAGAAAGAGAGAATAGAAAGCAGATCATACTGCTCGCAGGGCTTCAGGCACGCGACCACTTATCCCTTTGCTCTGCCCCTGAACTTCTATGATGAATTCATTTATTGCAGCGGACTGGAGACCCGACGGCGATCAGCCAGCAACGTCACCACGAACTTGAATGGTGACACCAGCAACACTGGTGACGCTCAGAGTGGACGATGGATAGAGACTTGATGGAGTCGCGTCAGAATGATGACGCGCTAACCATGAATTTGGGTGTATCTCGCACCACTCGAATAACAACATGACTCGGGCCAAGCCTCTGATATACACAAAATGGAGGAGTCCCTCTGCCATGACATCATCGACCTCGGCATATATTCCTGGTCAATCATCAGAGATGGAAGAGCCTTGATCACCACTACAGCATATGTGGAACTGCCAGATCCTCCGTGCCCTAGGTCGCGAGGTACTCGGTATGTAGGTACTCGGTAGGTCGCAACACCAACTGCCTGATCAGCTGATAACCTCCTTCGCCTCAAGTTGCTTCATCACCTCCATCAGCACCTCCTTCGTACTCAGAGCCGCGTTCTTAGGATCTTTCCTCACTCTCTGCCATACCTCCCCGTGTTTCGGTTCGTTCGCAACGCACTTTGCAATGACATCTTCCCGTTTCTCGTCGGTGCCGTGCTGCATTAGAAATTTGAGATACCACGCCCAGCTGTCTCCCAAATCCGGATCCACCACAAGCGCCTTCTCAAACCAATTCATCGCTTTGTCCAGTCTCCGTTCACTCCAGAATATGCGCGCCACGGTCACGAACAGAACGGGATCGTTGTCCACGGCCTTGATGGCTTCGAGGCTCAACGGTTTCCGTTGTGTCCGCGGCTGCAGTTTCCAGATGTTCTCGGACCACAGAAGCCCTGACTTAGGACACTCTTGTAATCCCTTGGACATCAGAATCTTCGCTTGCTGGACATTCGGTGGATTGGCGTGCAGCTCGACTCTAACGCTCTCGGCCCACAGCTCGGCATTCTTGGGGTTCTGCAGGCGTGCACGATCAAGGACAGATCTGGCCTTGATGATGATCCCCTCTTTTTGTTCGAGTCTCGCCGCCAGAAGCCACAGGGGCACAGACTTGGGACACGCTCTGGTCCCCTGTGCGTAAGCTTCTCGCGCCTGTGGTATCATCCCTTTGTCCTCGTAAATCTGCCCTTTCATCATCCACAGTTTAGGACTCCGTGGAAAGCGTGTCTCTTTCTTGTCGATAACCCTCGATGTGAGGCCCTGGAGAACCAAGTCGAGCGCGACATCAGTGTTGCCCAGCTGTCTTTCATACGCTGCGCTCTTGTACCAGACCCGCTCAGTCGGTGCCTCTTGTCTTGCCGTCGCCAGAAGTTCTCGTGCTTGGGTCACTTGCCCAGCATCTGCCTCCAATCTAACGGCTGCAAGCCAGATCTCCTCGTTATTGGGATTTTGATTAAATGCTTTACCGAGGACCCGGCGTGCCTCGTCAACTTCGCCAGCATGCCATTTCTCGCGTGCGAGCTGGAGCCACAGTTCTTCTGATTGAGGGCAGGCCTCGACAGCCTTCTCCAATACTTGCCACAGAGCTGCTTTAGTGCCGTGGCTCCTTTCCAAATCGGCCGCAGCGAGCCATAGTGATCTGCTAGTGGGGAACACTCGTAAGGCGTAAGCATAGATGGCTCGGGCGGTCTCGAACTTTTCTCGCCCAATGCTTGCTTTGGCGTCGTCCTTGAAGATCTCTTTTCGGTCGTCATCCTCATCTAGAGACCAGCCAAGAGTCTCTCGTATGATGGCGCCGCATGTCAACACAGCACCTTCCTCTTCGCATTTCTCAGCCTCCGTAATCCATTCCTCGCGCTTGAGCATGGCACCTTCCTTCACCAAAGCCTTCACAGCACGGTTCATGATATTGACTTTGTTAGCATTGCCCATTTGTTCTTGCAACCTGGCCGCGGCAATCCAAATCTCGTGGCTGGTGGGTACAGCTTTCCGGGCCTTGTTGAGAACAGCCTGGGCATTTTCCGGCGTCTCCAGACGAGCTAGAGCAAGCCAGAGCTCGACTGACAATGGTATGATCTCGGTGGCCTTTGCAAGTAAGAGTTTCGCATCTTCAGGGTCCTCTTCCAGATTCACTGCTTCTTTCCAAATCGCCACCGATTGGGGAACATGGTCAATCGCCTGTCGGAGGACCCGTTTCTTCGCTCGAGGATCCGTCTCCAGTCTCATGGCTTCGATCCACAGCCTCGTCGACCGTTCATTGTTCTTGATAGCGTTTGCAGCAATAATCTTGGCATTCTGTCCTTCGTTCAGTCGAATATTCTCCAACCAAGCGTCTTCACTCTTCGGGCACATCTCACAGCCCTGAGCCATCTTTTTCCTCGCCGCGACAATCTTCCCGGCGTATTCCTCCAAACGGGCCGCAGCGATCCAAGCTGGCGCGTGCTTCGGGTTTGTCTTGATAACAGAGTCGAGCAAGATGCGGACTCGTTGAATTTCGCCGAGCTGTACCTTGGATGGGTCGAATTCTGACGTCTCCAGACTGGTGAGATAACCCTTGGGATCAATCGTCGTCGCCGTGCCGTTACCGGCATCCGCTTTTGCCGCCCTGTCCAACCTAGTTTGCAGCACTCTGTCTCTTGCCGCACCAATATCGGCAAAGTTTGTCATGGTTCCGTCTCTGTTATCTGCACTCGTAGCAGCACCGTCCATGGCATCGTCTTGCACGCTGGTCGAAAACTCGGTGGAATCCCTTGCTCTCGCCAGGACGCTGTCAGGGACGGCAAAAGAGCGCTGGTTATTCCTATCCTGTCTTGCTCTTCTATTCTTGCCCGTTAAATCGCCAGGGTCTGGAATGTTCGCCCAGTCGTCGTCAGTTAATGTGACAAGGCCTCGTTTCAGGTCGGCGAATTGATCGGAGATTTTGGGGTTCTTGCGGTTGTATTCGTCTAGTTCTTCTCGCTCTCGTTCTTCCCTAGAGGACGGCGAAGGAGATCATGTCGGTAATCTGTTCATTCCCATGTGGAAAAGATAAACCACGTGTCTTAATGAAAGGAGGGGCAACCAAGAAGGGTGGTACTAACCTGAGCCTTTTCCGGCGTTTGCCCATGCGTTCATCTACGTCCTGATAGATTCTATCTGCCTCGTCATCGTCTTGAGTGAAAGTGCCAGAGGCGAACAAGCCTGTCTCGTTATCTGGGTCCTGAAAGCGTTCGTCATCCTCCTCTTCTTGCTCCTGTTTCTTCGCGCCAGCGCCGTATGCGGTCGGGGGTGCTGCACCGAGTTGCTGGGCTCGTCGGGCAAGAGCTTCTTGGATTTGTTCAGCGCTGGGCCCATCTCGAGCAGGGCCCAAGTCGGATCGAGTGGTGAAGCCAGTTGCGCCTCGACCGAGACCGGCGACGTAATTTTCGGGGGCTTGTTGGTTCAGAAAGTCGCGTCGCGACATAGTGATCAGTGACTGCCGGCAGCGCCCAGAAGCTGCCAAGAGAGATAGAGAGTGTTGAAAGGAGTGAGAAGGATGCTCTGCTGAAGGAGACGAAATAAGTAGCAGGAAGGATGAGACTGGCGAACGACTTTCAGAGGTGGTTTGTAGAAGGCAAAAGGCTGCCACTCTGCGTCTGGCGATCGATTTCCCCCACACACCAAAATTCTGCCGCCTCTCACCGCCAAAAAGTTCCAGCCCAAAAAAAAGCTCCTGTGGTGCCGACATTCAACACTCGAATTTCTACACCCTCACATCCGGCTATCCGAGGCTGCTATTTGTCGTCCCTGTGCTCGAAAAGAAATCCCAGGGGCCGTGGTGTTGAATCTGCCCACAATGCCCAAGGTCAACGCAAAGAGGCGCCCCGGCGCATCCTCGTCGTCTTCACCTTACTCCAAACCCTCCGCAGCCTCGAACGCAATCTTCAAAATGAACACGGACATCGGTCAACACGTTCTCAAGAATCCCGGTGTTGCTCAAGCAATTGTTGACAAAGCCAATCTCAAGCAGTCCGACATTGTGTTGGAAGTCGGCCCCGGTAGCGGGAACCTCACGGTGAAAATCTTGGAAAAGGCCAAAAAATGCATAGCCGTGGAACTCGATCCGCGCATGGCTGCCGAAGTCACAAAGCGAGTCCAAGGTACACCTCAGCAGAAGAGGCTAGACGTGCTGTTGGGAGACGTGATCAAGACAGAACTACCCTACTTTGATGTTTGCATTTCGAACACACCTTACCAGATTTCCTCGCCTCTGGTCTTTAAACTGCTTGCCACAGCCCCGGCACCCAGAGTGTGCATATTGATGTTCCAACGCGAATTCGCCATGCGTCTCTTCGCTAAGCCAGGCGACAAGTTATACTCCCGACTCAGTGTCAACGCGCAAATGTGGGCCAAAATAGACCATATCATGAAAGTCGGCAAGAACAACTTCAAACCGCCTCCGCAGGTCGAATCCAGCGTCGTGAGATTGGTGCCCAAAGTACCGAGACCGAACATCAGTTATGAGGAGTGGGATGGACTGTTGAGGGTGTGTTTCGTGCGGAAGAACAAGACACTCAGGGCAAATTTTTTGGGCACGAGCAGCATTTTGAACATGTTGGAACAGAACTACCGCACCTGGTGTGCACAAAACGATATTCCACTTGACGAAGGCCCGGCTGACGAGGTGATGCCGATGGAAGTCGAGAACCTACGAGACGGCCCGGTTGACGGCGAAGGTGAAGAGGAATGGTCCGGCTTCATGGACGTCGACGACGACCAAGATGAAGACGACGACAACAACCTCCCCAGCCTGCTGAAAGAACAATCCAATAACAAACATCGACCAACCCCCGCCGAGCGCTCCATCTCCCGCAAAAAGCGTGACAAGGTCTTCCACCTGGTCCGCGAAAAAGTCCGCTCCGTCCTGGAAGACAAGACGTCCCTGGCGGACAAGCGGGCACGGATGTGCGACGAGGCCGACTTTTTGAAATTACTGTACAATTTCAATCTCGAGGGGATTCATTTCTTGGGCATCAAGCATGGCGAGTAAACAAACCAACACCAACGCAGGCGCGGGCACTAGCACAAGACACGAACGTGAACATGAGCTTGGGGAGACAAAGGAGAGCGTCGGCCCAGTTTGAATCCTCCCCTCCAAAAAGCGTCAGTCGCCCAAAGGGACCCCCGAGAAATGGTGATCAAGAGACACAGAGGACTCGATAGCATGTGGGCTTTGTACCAAGGAGGGTATTGAGGCAATGCAGGGGATCTCTCCGTCTCTACCTCTGTGATTTGGTTTCGCACCACAGACATATATCTCCTCTCCTCAGCGCGCGGCACAAATGGGGGCAAGGTAGAGCTAAGGACAAGACCACGCAACAGAATGGCATGACCAAGCGATCTTCCAGCAGGACGGAACATCGCGGCTGCACTTGAGACGATGGATGAAGCCGAGAAACGAAGAGAGAAGTCAAGAAAGATAAAACGGCAGTACTCTGTTGCAAGAGAACATCAACAGTGCACCACAAACACACATGCTCGACGAACCGGACTGGACATGGATATGTATTGGATATGGATACGAATACGGTTACAGTCACAGACACCGATGCCGACTACACGTCCCGGAGTTAACTGCCAAGACTTTCTTGAGATACCTACGCACGCCCGCCCGCGGCCCGAAGACAGGGAACGTCAGAGACGATAGGGAGCGCCAGAGATGACAGAGATGACAGAGACGATGTGGACGACGCGGGCGATGGGGGAATGATGCCCTTGCCCATACCAATGCCAATGTCCAAAGGCTGCGCGACTGCTTTCAGGAATTACGATTAGTTACGAGTATCAACGACCGGACACGAACACGATCCCGAGCCTGACTTTGACTTGATGGAGACATCGCCCCCTCCGGAACCACTACCTATGCACACTATATGTAGGTAGGTGACTAGTTAGATAACAGACCAGCACATAAAGCCGAGACGCCAAAAGTACTCCGCCATTCTCTCTCATAAGGTAATCTCGCTCGCTAGATACACAAAACGTCTGCAGTGGGTTGTTCAGTGTCTCGAGCCAGTCTTTGTCAGTCGATGTGTTTTTTTATCCTTTATTTTTCGCTTCTGCTAATATTATTTATTCTTTGCTATCTGTTCAGGAAAGTAGCTAGCTGGGTGCTTGCTGGTCAGTCTGGCGGGTGAGAGCTCAAGACGAGATATAAACCCGCAGTGAAATTCTTCCAAAGCCCAGCAGGGACAAGTGTTGCCCTTTGATTCAGCCGGGGAGGTCCAAGCCCCGCCTGGACAGCCCCGTAAGTCAAGCCCACAAGTTGTGCCCAGTCCACGTCGATTGGTATCTTTGCAGCGCCGCGCCATGTCATTCATGTCGTCCCATCGTATATATTCGTAACATCGTCGCCGGAAACATGGAAAGAACACAGAGTTCGTCCTCGGCATCCATCTCCAAACTCAAATTCGACAGTCTTGTGAGGATGCGCCCTCGGCATCCTGCTCAGTACTTCCCATCACCAAAATTCTAGGTTGATGTGGCCAGCCAAATCAACCGCCTCAGAACTGATCCTTCAACCAGAGGCACAAGAGAGCTCTTCAAACGGAAACGAAAGGATGCAAAGTCAGAATATTGTGTAAACACATCTCCCGAAGAAAAAGTGCCGCTCGCTGCTTTTCGTGTGGCATCCAAGTGCCACCAGGATCCCATCACTCTTCAGATAAGCAGATGGAAACAGAAATCCTGCCTTGTTGTCGCTTTTGGGTCGTAAAACACACATAAAGCGTGACCGAGGGTATCAAACAACTTTTGAGTTGGACTTTTTTGAGGTCTGCTTTTCCAACGAAAGAAAAGGTTGGCGATTACTCCAACCCAGCAGAAGAGCGGCAGCAGCGGCACAGGCACAACGGGCCTCATTGAGAAGCACAGCATGCCTGAAGAAGACAACAAAGAGATTCAGGGCCTTGAAATTTGCCCCGCCATAAAAATCGAAAATCCCGAACGCTTGGAAAAACGACACGTGAGAAGGACCAACCCAAACACAAAATAGAGAATATAGACAAAGAACCAGCTCCGCTCCGAAGACGGGTCAAAGGACATAATACATGCGGCAGATGTTTCATAGATCAACGTAGCTGTAATCGACGCTTTGACGCCCGGAATAGTCGTGGCTGCGCCGGTGCAAGCTAGGGGCTCGACTCGGCTGACGACTGGATCTCAGACTTGGGCCTCGTTCTTCCAAATACGAAGGCCGTCTGGACGCGGACATCTCTCGATCCCTTTCTCTTTCTCGGCCCGAGATGACACTGCTCGAGTGGCTCTTCTTGGAGCCGCGACTCGCAACACTTGGTGCACGTTCAATCCTCTTCTGCTCCTTGGGGCGGTCGTTCTCTTTGCCTTCGGCACCCACTGACAGGACAAGACCTCCGATGCTGATGCTGAGAGGCCGTCCATCTTTGTTGATATAGTCAGGAGGAATCGTCATGTTCAAGCCGCCGGGAAGGGTTATGCTAGTCTTTGTGCCGCTGGTCTGACTTCTTCCGCGGCCGGAAGAATCCTTGGAGGACGACTGCCGACTGAAGTTACTCCCTGTCTCAGATCTTGAACTTGAATTGCGCTGGTCCAGATCACGAAGAGCTTCGGCAGTTAACTCGTTGGAAGTCTTGTTTCGCCTCGACTGGTACTCTTCGACCTGAGCTTCTTTTTCCTCTAGAGGCACAGTCATGCGGCGAGGGACATGGTGCGGAGCGGAGCTTGCTATTTTCGTAACGGTTGTTCCTGCTGAATAGGAAACGGATTTTCTGGGCAAGGGGCGATCGCGCGTCTCGACCAGCCCCGCAGCGCGGTACGACGAAGGTGGACGAGAAGCAGACTCTCTGCGCTCACGAAAGGCTGAAGGAGGAGGTCGAGACGGCCGGTAGTCCTGCTCGTCATCGCTTTCGTAGCGCTCCGGCTCATAGAGAACCCTTTCGGGAAGCCGTGGTTCCTGAGGATGATACGTCTTCGCCCTTCGATTACTGGGTCGGCGTGAAAGTACGACGTCAGGTTGGGGTGGCCGAGGCGGAGGTGGCATCATTGCCCGGTCATCATCTTCAAGGTTGCGGGTAGATTTTTGAGATGGCGGCATTGGCCGAATTTCTTTGGAAGGGATCCGTTCGAGAGTCATCATTCCCGAGTCAGCATACCCTTGACGGATGACAGGTTCGCCATAGACGCTTGACCGCCGGATGGGGCTTGTATGTCGACTTGGCCTCCCCGAGCGGGGTTCAGGGTCGGGTGGTTGGTTGAAGTAAGAGGGAAGTGGCTGGTAAACTGCGTATGAAGGCGTTGGCAACGGTGTAGGCAGGACGTATGAATATGGCACTGGACTGTAAGGTATGTTCGGCGTGACTGGGGTTGCATAACCTGACGTGGCAACGGACGGAGGCCCATACATCGGGTGGTTGATGTACTGTATTGGAACCGGAGCATTGGAAAACATGCTCAGCGGTCTAGATTGCTGGTTTGAGGAGGGCCTTCGGACCTTGACAGGTAATACCTGGTCATCTTTTGCGCCTTTTGGAACCAAAGTCTTGACTCCTGCTGCAGAAGAAGGCGGAGGAGCAGCTTTTTGGGTTCGAGACAGGTCTTGCTTTGTGTCGGTGTGCTTGCTATAATAGTCGTGGCTCCCGCCAGGCCCTCGCTCATGCAGGTCATGCTTGGCTTTGAAAGGTCGTGGATCGGACGACGCATCATTCAAGTGGGAGGAAGATTGGCGGCGACTGGATGGTAGCGAATGACCATTTTGAGAGATGAGATAAGGCTTTCGTTCTCTCTCGCGGATGCCGGTGTCGAGCTTCAAGTCTGGCATTCTGCGCCGAGCCGAGGTGGTGGATTCCCCAGCTATGGTGCCCGCCCGACTGACATAGCCTGAGTCGCCTCCGTCGACGTTGAATTCATTCTTCTCACGCTGCGGCAGAGCGAGGTCTTGTTGAGAACGTTTGGCGGAGACATTGGCGGTAGTTTGAGAGCCTGGAAGGGCCGATTGGGTGTCCTCGTCCCAGTCCTCGCAAGTGGCTGCCCGGGGACGACGACGGTCAAATTCGGGCATGGAAGCGGCGGGCAATGTGGGAATGCGTCGACTTGATGAATGTTACTTTTTTGTGATTGTTGAGGATATTACCAGCCTATGCTTGGACGTGAACGAGGAACTGATCTACTGGGTAGAGGGGGGGGGTGTTGTGACCGCTGGTAGTCTTGAGCCTTGGGGGGAAGTGAAGTGGAGTGACAGGGGCCCTGACCGAAGATGATCCGCTAAATTTAAACGGCAAGGTACTTATTTTGCAGGGGTGTTCCGGCCCGTAAGGCTGCTCGGCGTCGCGGGGCGGGCAAAGGCTGCTAAAAGTCCCCGAAAACGATGTGCGCTGATATCCTTCTTGAGGGGTTGATGCTCCAGTGGCCGCGGCTCGTGGCGTGCCGGGGGCTTTTGTTGCTGAAATAGCAATCGTATTATTGTCTGCCCCCAGGAATCTTTGTAGATGGATTGGCCCTCAGACCCAATCGCCTCTAACCTTTTCGTTCTTTCTGTAATCCCAGAGAACAATTTCAGACCAGTTCGTGTGGGTGCGGGTCCATTTCGGGATATGTTTTATTTTTCCGTCTCAATCACCTCGTAGCGTTGTGCGCTCCACTCGCTCTTGAATCGCAGGTTACAAGTTGCCTCCGGCTTGTTCCACATCCAAATGCTGTGACAACGGCTTTGGGAGATGGCAAATGCAAGAATCCGGTCGCACAAAATACCGTTTACCGCGCTGGAGGAAGCGTAAGCGGACACAGGTATTCCGTCGTCTCGACGACGATCTCAGGTGAAGGGGTAGTCGTGTGCGAAGGTGATTTGCCGGGAGAATATGCGCGCCTGTCAATGCGAAGGCGGGCTGCAGAGATCAGCCACAGCTCAATGAGACGCTGCACGGTAGACCTCGCTGTTGACTGTCGACAGAACTCTGATGGAGGGAGGGGAAGGATGGAAGAGTTAATGGCGCTTTTTGCTGAGGATATTCTGTTGCAAGGGAGTCATTCTTGTCTCGACCCCACTACGCGTGGCTCTAGGCAGGCAACGCGGCGGAGGGGGGGAAGAGGAGCGAGGGGCAGGCAACAAGGAGTGAGAGAGGGTGTGTGTGTGTAGGTGTGTGTGTGTAGGTGTGTGTGTGTAGGTGTGTGTGTGTAGGTGTGTGTGTGTAGGTGTGTGTGTGTAGGTGTGTGTGTGTAGGTGTGTGTGAGTAAGTGAGAGACCAAGAGAAGAATCAGAGGATGAGATTGTGCCAAAAATTCAGCAACTAAGCAGGATGGGTCAGGATGGGTGTAGGAATGACTGGACCAGCTGCAGAATGACGAACAGGAGGTTTTGCTTTTTTGATTTTTTTTTTTTTTTTCCCTTCCCTTACCCTGAGACAGCCACTTGCCAGAGCCAGGGTCCAGGAGAGAGACAGAGAGAGAGAGAAAAGAAAAATGGCGCGGGCAAAACGAGAGACTGGCATTGACTGGCATTGACTGGCAGCGAGTGGCAGCGAGGGTGAGCCCAAGGTGTGCAGGTGCGAGGAGGGCAGTGTGAAGTGTGATGGCCCATGGGCGCATCCGCCGACCGGCGTCGAAGATTCCTCAAATCCTCGCCATCTCCCATCTTCCTCTCCCCCCGGCCGGTGTAAGCGGGAGCCTTTAGTTGCGTGATGCGCGTTGTCGTGAGGATTGCTGCCTTCTGAATGGAAGATAAAGCCCAATGAGCTGCCCAACGTATACATCCCCGGTAACCGTTCGGGCCATTCAGCAACTCGAACAATCAACAGGTCGCTCGCTAGTTGCAGCCTACCTACAATCGCACTCTCTGGTGCCCTCAATATCCACTCGATGGATGGCGACTGCCATCATCTGCGACCGTCTGCCACTCCGGTCCCCCGTTCATCCCACCCTCGGTGCCATCAGCGTCTCGCCTCGCTTGAAGAGGGTGCTCCTCCAGGGAACTCATGTCGTTGATAACCTCAACGACGGGGAGGTGTCGACAGCCACAGCAAGCATGAAAAACATCCCATGCCCTCGACTGCATATGCAGCCCATTGCTTTGATCCATGGTCTATCTGCCTGAATTCCTCCAGTGTGCCGGCCAGCATCTTTCAAGTGTCGGACCAAACGTGGAGGGTACTCACGTAGGGGATGGCATTGTGATACATCACCATGACTTGGTTTGTGGCACGACAGCCTGTTGGTGGGCAGCAGAAAACGCGGGGAGCCTACACGCAGACAATGCCCGTGAAGAGATATGCCCATTCATTGGAGCTGACCTGCAGCTGCTGATGCTGGTGCTAGGATGTTGGGGGTTGCTGCAGCGCGTGCCTCAGGCTCGCTGTCGCTCATTCGCATCCCCTCTCTCTATCAAACAATCTTTCCCCCCCCCCCTCCATCCATGCTTCAGTTGATCTCTTCTGCCTGCAAACTCCCATCGCTCGGCCTATCAGGGCCCAGCACGGATAACACCTGTACTCTATTCAACCAGACATGTTTCCTTGCAAGGTCCTCAGCTCCTATCAGCCTGAATGACCACCACCAACCTGGAACTGCTGCCTGGGGATTCCTTCCTCGCCTTGGATCCGATACCAGAAGAGGAGAAACAGCTCTGACCCCTCCAGATGCGGTCCGGGTGGTGGCGATATGATGATCAGGGTACATAGGTGTGGCTGCCCAACGCGCTGTGACGCTGGCAGACAGATTTTTGGCCCTGACTAAACCCAAGTTTGTCTACGTTCCCATGCACCCCTCCTTCACCTCAGCCTTGAAAAGGGGAAGGAGTGCACCATCAACATCCAAAAATCTACCTACTAGTACATCGAGCCCCGAGGCCCCCGGACACCAGACATGCGGCCTTGTGAGGCTAGTTGCTGCAGCCGCTCTAACGTCCTTATCAGCCTGATCCCTTGTCTGAACTTGCCCCGGTCAACCGGCTATCCCTGCTCGTGGTTGTCTTGTTGCATGAACTCAACAGCCGAACTTCATGATAGTCGAACGCGTCCGTCAAATCCTTCGATCCAGTTTCAGCTGCACCAGCCCGGGTTCTCCCGCCGAGATGCGAGGACATCCCTGTCCACAAACACCCGTTCTCGGATCGGAACTTCTGAATGCTTCCACGTCACTCCATCTTACATCCTCTCCACCGGGGTCAACCCCAGCAGAGTCATGCCATTCCACAGCACTTGTCGGGCAGCCTCGTACAGTGCCAACCGAGCCTTCTGCAGCTCAGGCTCGCTCCCCACCACTTGTAAATGGTCGTAGCTCGAACTGAGCGCATGCGCCATCTTGAACAGATAAGTGAGCACGGTGGCAGGTTCTCGAGTCTTGAGCGTGTTGAGCACCACATCCGGGAATTGTGCCAGTGACCGAGCCAGATTGATGGCGTGGGATTCCTTCAACAAGGAGAGATCCGCAGAGCCCAAAGCCGCCAGGTCCGCATGGGCTTTTCGCTCAATCGAGCATAATCGTGCGTGGGCATACTGCAAGTACGGACCGGTGTCGCCTTCGAACGCCGTCATCTGGTTGATGTTGAATTCATACCCGTTCCGCACCTTGCCTGTCAAATCTTGCACCATAATGGCAGTGATGGCCAGCACATCGGCAACTGCATCTGGGTCGTCAAGCTGTGCATATTTCTGATCATTCTTCTTCATCACTTCGAGCATGGTGTCCTTGACCGTCTGGATGATATCGTCCAAGAACTTGACCGTACCCTTTCGGGTACTCATGCCCTTCACCATCCCGAACGAGATATGCTCGCACTTCTCCGCCACGTCCTTGTGCCCACTGATCTCGGTGGTCTTGAACAATTGTGCCAGATGTTCGTTCTGTTGATCCGCGACCACGTAGATCATCTTGTCAAAGTGGTACTGGTCATGCCGCTCCAAGATTGCAGCCAGGTCCCGGGTGAGATACAACGGCGTGCCGTCCTTTCGCACGATAATTGCCTTGTTGAGTTTTTTGGCGCCATGCTTGGCAAAATCAATCAAGATGGCACCATCGGAATACTCTGCAATCCCCTGCGCCAGCAGACTGTCCAGCACCTGTTTGATGGTCTTGGCCTTCACCTGCGACTCCCCAGAGTACACATCGAACTCAATGTTCAACCGGGCGTACGTGTTCTGGTATTTCTTTATACTCATGTCCCGAAACTTCTGCCACAGCGCCAAAGCCTCGGCGTCGCCGTCCTCCATGCTCTTGAAGTATTTTCGAGCATTTTCATCCTCGCTTTCTTCCACGAGAGGTGCGAGTTTTGCTTCCAGCGCAGTCACATCTTCTCCCTTGTCCCTTTTCTCCTTAATCTCCTTCTTCAGCTCGTTGATCGGCTGGTCCTGGGCTTCTTTTACCTTGTTGATCTGCACGTACACTTGAAACAGGTGCGCAATCGAGTTCTGGTCTAACTCCTCTTGGCTGCCGAATTGCTTGAACCCATTGGCAAGGAGGCCGTATTGCTTGCCCCAGTCTCCCAAGTAATTCATCTTGATGACGTCCCAACCCATGCACTGATAAAGCTTTGCCAGGAAACCGCCGATGATGGTACTCCGGAGATGGCCCGCGTGAAATTCTTTTGCGATGTTCGGTGATGAGAATTCCACGATAATCTTCTTTCGGCCCTTGGAGGGGTCTGAGGGTTCTTTCAGGCCAGGGGTAGGGCTGCAGCCATATGCCCTCGTGTGGGTTAGGATTTCCGGGATGGTCAAGCTGATCAAGTGTTCTGGTTTGGCGAAAAATTGCACAAATGGACCTGCCTGGGATACCGTGACAAGGGTGTCTTCTGTAGAGGGAAATGCTTCGACAATCTCCTTTGCTAGCTCTTGTGGTGGCTTCCCCTTAACCCTCAACGCGGCGGCAGCGAGCATGAGGTCTCCTTTGTCTAAAGTCGTGGTCCATTGGATTAGGGGAATAAGTTCGGCCGCTGGTCGACTGACGAAGGGAGCCAGCCTCTCAGCGACGTACTCGCGATAAAAGTCCATAGGGTTCTTGCTCTTCCCTATTTCTTCTAAAGTCAGTGAGGAGACATTCCCACTGATTTCTCCAACCATTTTGAGGGTTGCCGCCGGAGTGGCGGAATACGATCGATATTGGTGAATTGCAAGCCTGTGAAGACGGGTGGAGGATTGTTTTCTTGTGCTTAACCAGTCACTTGAAAGAGTTCGCTGGAAGGTGACAGGGTATTGATGATATTGAATCGCTCTTCTTTCGCAGGATGAGAATCTAGACCAACTGGAAAATTTTTGATTGCGAGACAGACGAGAACACCACATCCTCCTTGAGGGGAGTCATTATATTCTCCACATCCACATTGACAGACTCGATTTTGAGTCAATCATTTGATATCTTGGCATGCATCGCCGCTTCGGACCAACATTATTCCGTCAAAGCCTGGTCCCGTTCTACTGTATATCTCCAGCTGCGCGACTTCATTTTGAACGTTAGGTTACACTCACAACCTACCCTTGACCCATCGTCAGGAGATTACGATGCTTTTGACATTGCTCCCATATGTCTGAGGCGTCAGACCGCACTCCAGACGTGGAGACTGCGACACGAAACAGTGGCGAAGGGCAACGACCGAAGCGGTTTCGTTTCAAATCCAAGAAGGATGATGAAAACCGAAGCGATAATGATTCAAGGGGCCACAAGCGACGAAGAGACCACGATTCGTCCCGCAGGGGCAGGAAGCGGCACAGATCGTCACGGCATGCCGGAGATGGGTCACGCTCACAAGAACACCCCTCGGCCTATCTGTCGCCAGACCAAGCATTCCGAGAGTCGCTCTTCGACGCACTTGGAGACGACGAAGGTGCGGCTTTCTGGGAAAGTGTTTATGGACAGCCTATACACAACTATCCCAATACCTATCAAGATGAAGAGACTGGGGAATTGGAACGCATGACTGACGAGGAATATGCGCAATTCGTCCGCCGGAAAATGTGGGAAAAGAGTTGGGAAGGAATAGAGGCCGCAAGAGAGGAGAAGAGGCGAGAAAAACAACGAGAGGAACAAAGAATACGCGACGAAGAGAATAGAACAGAGAGCGAGAGGCAGGCCCGGCACGATGATCACATCTTCAACACTCAGATCGAAGCCAGCCTTCGACGAGGTGAGAAGCGCAAAGAGCGCAAGCGGTGGCAAAAATTGTGGGAGGACTATCTGCGCCGCTGGGCAGAGCTCCAAAATGTTGCTCGAGATCGGCAAAAGTCTGAGGGGGACGGGGAACAGCTCTTTCTACGCAACAAAATCGCGTGGCCAGTCGAGTCAGGAAAACACAGAGACGTCAACAGGGAAGAAATTGAACGGTTCATCAGGAAAGGCACAGAGAGCGATGAGGCGGTAGAGGGAGCGGATCCATTCTCAAGCGCTATCAAGGCCGAGCGTGTCCGATGGCATCCCGACAAAATCCAGCAGAGGTATGGATTTATGGAAATCGACGACGATACGCTCAAGGGGGTCACAGCAGTCTTCCAGGTGCTCGATACGATATGGAACGACATTCGAGACAAGGATTCATGAGAAGAAATACATGCGCCGTTCTGACGCAACAGCCGCTTCTAGCCTCTATGCTTCTATCATACCGGACTTGGGCCTCCTTTTGTGCTCTACAGTCTAATTGTTTAAAGGTCGGTCTCCACCTGTCCACTCTGCGATGAGACCGTCGGGGACGTCTCTGACCAAAACATGGACATGTTCCATCCCCGGCACGGATTGCAACGCCGTCCAGTTCTTGAACCAGATGACCTTTTCGTACTCGCCGGGCAATTCCCTGACTCGGTCCACAAATGTAGACTGAATGAAATCCTCGACTTGCTGTCTCGATTTTGGCGTCATGTCGCCTCTGGTAGGTTCTGATTCCAATCTGCTCTTGAGCCAGACGATAAGGTGCCTAATGCCGGGCGCCAATCCATACGGCCAGTCATTGACCAGAATCTTGTAGTCGGCTTTGTCGGCGAAAGGGTCAGGATTCTTCACGGCAAATCTTGGTCCCGTTTCCGGGGTCGACGACTGTAAAGGTGCCCATTTCAGCCGTTCTCTCATGACAAAATTGGGGACGCTGCCATAGGCGGCTTTCATTTCGCTTGACCATTTGATGTAGCGTCTCAGGTCGGAAGGCCACCTTTTGAGGACACTGAGGTTGTGCTCAGCTGTGGGAAAGCGGTTAGAAAAATACTAGAGCATTGACCGAAAGCGCCCCCAAAAAGGCACCATGTGCGAAGAATGGGCCCAGAAGCACCCACCAATGATCTGTTTGAGGTCTTCCCATGTATGTGGATGGAATTGGTCATCGGTCATGGCCAGGACACACTGGTCCACGGTCGTGAGCGGGAACGGGGACGGGGTATTGTCGGGGGGCTCTGAAGCCATGGCTTGTTTGCTCGAATGTCGTCTGCAAAGGGGAAAGGTCTTGCTCGGCGGGCAAGTGGTTCCATAGAGGGTAGAGTTTCGCCGGATCAGTTGACCTAAGATGGAGTGCCGGTAATATTGAGGTGCAGATGAAGCTACGAACAGACCCGAAGACGTCCCCCCTTCCCTCGGCGAGGGTTGCTGGGAGTTTGAGGAGAAAATGAGACGGTCTGACAAAACAGTTTCCCTCAGCGCCACGAACTCCAGAGCAGAAATTAGGTGGGAAGGAGTGGTACCACTGGCGTTATGGTTCTGTCAGACTTGCTTGGTTATTGCCCTTGGGCAGCGGAGGGCTTGTTCATCGGAACCGCCCCGCACTTTGTCACCATATGCAGGCAATGGCACCGCCCCTAATAGCGAGCTGGGTCCTAAGAAACATCCCCGGGACTCTCGCTGAACTGGGCCACTGCCTCCCGCGAACGAGCCCCACGTCCATCACTGCTCACCGCAGTGCCTGCCGAAACAATCCCAGGCCCAGACCTTCCCCAATTCCAATATATTTTTGACCCCGACCACAAAACAATTCTTTTCCCACGGCTCGCATACCCTCTTTGGTCGTCTTTGCTGCTTGAGGTGGATTCCGCTGTTTGAAGGAGCCCGGCAAGAAACAGCACTGTCTCATCTCTTCGAGCCATGGGGTAGGTACCGTTGGGACCCTCCTCAAACTGTTTCCTCAACGTGTTTCCTCAACGCTCACCTCATCTCCCAGAAACGCAGTCTTTTCGCAGGCCAACATCAATGGCGTGTATATCCCCTCGGTGCTGCTGATCGTCGGAGTCGCCATCATCAAGAGGGAATATGTCCCTTATGCGGTCGCTCTCGCTGCCATTGTGGGAGGCTACAAGATCTTCACTGGCCTGACTCGTAAGTGGTGTGAGGGTTTAAAGCCGGACAAGATCCTGACTGACCCTTCTCAATTGCAGCATCGTCAAGGAAAATCCTGAAGCCCGACGTCTTCCAGGAATTCCCCCTGACGAAAATCACCAAAACCTCCCACAATGTCGCCATCTACCGATTTGATCTTCCCCGACCCACCGACATTCTCGGTCTCCCCATCGGCCAGCACATGTCGTTGGCAGCAACCCCCAAAGGCGCTGATAAAGAGGTGGTCCGGTCATATACCCCTATATCTTCCGATGAGGACAAAGGCTTCTTTGAACTCATGATCAAGGCATACCCTCAGGGCAACATCAGTGCTCATATGACCACCTTGAAAGTTGGGGACATCATGAAGGTCCGCGGCCCCAAGGGAGCCATGGTGTACACTCCGAACATGTGCAAGCGCATTGGCATGATTGCGGGCGGAACAGGCATCACACCCATGCTGCAGATCATCCGCGCCATCAATCGCGGTCGGCCCCGAAATGGAGGCAATGACACCACCAAGGTGGATCTAATTTTTGCCAACGTCAACCCCGATGATATTCTGCTGAAAGAGCAGCTTGACGAGCTGGACAAGGCAGACCCTGACTTCAACATCTACTATGTCCTGAACAACCCGCCTGAGAAATGGGAGGGCGGAGTCGGCTTTGTGACTGCGGATATGATCAAGGCCAAACTCCCGCCTCCGTCATCCGATATGAAAATCCTGATCTGCGGGCCTCCACCTATGGTCAGTGCATTGAAGAAAGCCACAGAAAGTCTCGGGTACCAAAAGGCTAGACCGGTCAGTAAACTGGAAGACCAGGTGTTTTGCTTCTAGAGAAGATCAGCGTGGGTGTGGTTTGTGGCCCTTTATAGATCGATCTGTCAGGGAACGAGAAAAGACGGCAAGGCCATGGGTCTTTGCATTTCGGAGTTCGTCTGCCAACAAAACAAGGAGGCATGGGTCGAGGCTATGTGTTGAGTTGTCAAGGATGGGCGGGCGTGTGAGCTTGTCAATAGATGGCCATCTCTTCGAGGGGAAAAGCGCTCCAAGAGCATCGGCACCAACGACAATATAAAGGATTGTGGCTTTGTGGCTGTGCAGATCGCCGTTGTGTTCATATGCTGCATGCTGTCCATTGGTGCCATCTTATCGGTCCACCACGTCAATCTTGTATATCCCCATTTTCCCCCAGCCAAGTTTCAAGGAACTTTGTCTTCTTGCCCGCATGCGGCTCTGATGATCGCTTTGCCTGCGCGAGCTCAAGACTCGACGGAGAGGCTCCCAAGTCCCCCAAAGGGGACAGCCACGTAACGACAGAGGTGGCGCAAGCTCTGGGCGGCCGACGCTCAGTCCAATCATGCTAGCAGCTCGCCCCGTGTGTTGATAAGTGCCGTCGCTGCATGAATCAAGCCCGGTTTCGATCGATGCTACAGGCCGACGGTTGTTGGAAGGATGCACATCTTACTAACTGACCAGGCAACTGGTATATTATTTCCCAGTCTTTACGTCCGCGTTCTCCTGCCTGTTGTTGCCCTACATACTCCGACTTCATGGGATTGACAGCGAGTTTTTTTCTGCCACCCCCCCCCCCCCCCCCCCCCCGGGCCCTTTGCCTCCTCTGCTACCAAGATAAGACGATAGAGAGTGGTATACGGTTCCATACCCACACCACCGAGATAGTCGCTACATAACATCTTTATACGAAACCTTTATTCGTATTGTCGTTGAAAAACAAAATCTCGGCGCAGGACGAAGCAGTCTAGGATGAAATCCGGGTTATAGATGGTTGTACGCCAAAGGACAGCAGTCAGTCAGTCCCCTTTTCCGTCTCAGCCTCGTCCGCGGAAAGAGAGCAGACGTGCCGACTCACGACCTTCGGAGTACACATTATTCCTGTACAGCATGAAACACCATTCGCAGATAATAGCAACAACAATATCGGCCCTCCTCGTCGAGCTCTCTCACGCGGCATCAGCAGCAACGAACTCGACATTCCCCAAACGCGGCCTCTGCTACATCTCGACCGACCACTCACAATCGGACTCGCGCATCTTCACCACGCCCAACTCGCCGTTGACGTGGTACTACAACTACAGTCCGTGGCCGGGGCCCGCGGGCGCGCTGGTGCAATGGAGCGGGGAGTTCGTGCCCATGGTGCACTCGGCCAGCGACGCCGCGGCGTCGGTCGAGACCATCAAAGCCGTCCTGAACGGCAGCGCGGGGATTCCCATTGCGAGGGGCAATTCCGGGGGGAACAGAATCGAGCGCGTCCTCGCCTTCAACGAGCCGGACGGCGACACCTCGTCCGGCGGGACCGACTCGTCGCCCGAGCACGCCGCGCAGGTCTACATTGACAGCATCCTGCCGCTGCGCGACCCGCCGTACAACCTGCAAGTCTCCCTGCCCGCGACGACCGGCTCGCCCCGCGGCCTGGACTGGCTGCGCTCGTTCAACGCGTCGTGCTTCAAGCTGCGGCCGCAGGGGGGCTGCCCGTCCGACTTCGTCGCCGCGCACTGGTACGGCGACCTTGCGGGGCTGGCCTCGTGGCTGGGCACGCTTCACGCCTTGCACCCGGCGAAACCGATCTGGGTGACCGAGTTCGCGATCCCCTCGGCGCCCGCCGACCAGACAATGTCCTTCCTGAACGAATCCCTCGCCTACCTGGACGGGCTGGGCTCGGTGGCGCGGTACGCATGGTTCGGGGCGTTTCGGAGCGATGACGCCAACGAGTGGACTGGCGACGCCGTCAGTCTGTTCGACCGACACGGCAGATTGACCGAGCTGGGCGCCGAGTATTTGGGCGGCGCGAGGGATGGGTTCAGCGAGGGCGAGAGCGCCAGGAGTAATAGTGGCCCCGGTGGGCTTTCAGCTCCTAACAGTATGTCGTGGAACGCGCGCCCGGTGCTAAGCGCTTCGCTCGCCGCAACCATCAGCTGGCTGTGGCTGCAGTAATGAAAAATAGAGGTGGAGAGGAAATGGAAATCCAGTCCGATGTAGAATCTAAATCTGCCTCCTCCTCCTCCCTTCATTCCAATTAAATCGATCCCGGGGGGG